TTTGGGTTCATTGAGAACATGGTTGTTGTTCAATAATAAAATTAATCCTCAAAAATACAACTTGCCTAATAAATCTGCACTCCCTGTAGTATCTCAAAAATGTCTCTTAGCAAGGGTTTTGTTAAAATGTCAGCTGTCATCTCTTTTGTTGAGCAGTACTCCATCTCAATACATCCTTTCTGGTACAGATCTTGCATTGCGTGACATCTAATGTCAATGTGCTTGGTGCGTGCATGTACTTTCTCTGTTTGCACCATCTTTACATCTCTGGTTGTCTATCAGTCGGATGGGATTTGGCTCTGGCATTGCCAAGTCCTCAAAAAGTTGGCTAAGCCATTGTCTTCTCTTGTTTGTGTCTGCTGTGGAGATATACTCTGTTTCTGTAGAAAAATGTGCTACTAATTTTTCCTTACCACTAGTCCAGCCAACACAACCAATCCCATATAAGACCACATGGCCACTCATAGATTTACAATCTTATTTTGTATCCCAATCTGCATCTGTATATCCTACTAGTGTGAGATCTCTGACATCTAATTAACTTTAGATAAAGAGATACTTTGAGATATCTTACTACTTTCTTGAGTGCAATGCTATGATGTCCAGAAGGTGACAGTAAAGTAAAGTTGTTTGTTTGTTTTTTAAATCGTGGGTACACTTTACTGTCTGGTGTACAATTTAGTAGATCCTGCACACTGGGTAATTAACACATGATCACAGATTTAACAAATGTGTAGGCATAGTATAGTTAACTTGTGGGTATGATCTACTAAATAGTTTTCACTGAATAGATAACCAGCAGGACCAGCTTGTAGTGTTGCATGTGAAGATCGTATATAAGCCTCCCTCTACGCACACACTGCCACAAGCAGCATCCCCACATATTTATTTATAAAATATTTTACCATATGCAGCCTCCTTACACACACAATTATTATAATTACAATTATATGTATAGCACTAAAATATTCTGCAGTGCTGTACACTAGGTAAAACTTGACAAACAACTAATTCCAAAAAATAAACATTTGGCATACAGGAACACAACATCACAAGCAGGGTCCTCTGCATGTGCAAGTAGCCTTGAAGCACATACAACCATAGGCATAAGTAAGTAAGACACCAGGTAACAAAAGAGGAACAGGGCTGGGAGAGAGTGTTGTGTGTCTGTGGAGTTTGCGTGTAGTGTTGTAAGTGTTTGGAGGCCACTTGTGGTGTTGCACGTGAGGAGGATACTGCTTGTGATGCCACCAGCAAAGTGCCTCATTAAATGCTTAATGGAACACTCCATTGCCCCCCAACAATTTAATTGAAATATCACTGTTATTTATATACACCACATTGAAAACATGCTTGCATTTATTTATACATTTTTTATTATGGTTAAAGCTGAAAACAGTTTGTAAAACCTGCAACTCTCTTGTCTGCAACCTTTGTAAGCCATCCCCTTTTTCCCAAACCTAAATTTTTAATCTGTGTTTGAGAATATTCCAATCAGAGGCTTCTCATTTTTGGGAAAAAAATACTTATTTTTCACTTTTTCATCAAATTTGTTCCAGTAGAATCTAAATGATCGATTAACTCTGACATGTCTTTCTAGGTCACCAACCTGAGAGAGCTGCATATTAAACAGTTTTCTTGGTCAACACAGTTTTTCATTTAGACTTTTGCAACTTTTGCTACTGCCATACAGTTCTTCTAAGACTTCCCATAACAACTTGGCTGTCATTTCTTAATAAGGCATAAATCACTGTTAAAGGACCACTATAGTGCCAGGAAAACAAACTCGTTTTCCTAGCACTATAGTGTTAATAGGTCCCCCCCCACCCTCATGGCCCCCCTCCTGCTGGGCTCAAGAGGGGTTAAGGGGTTAAATTCTTACCTTTCTCCAGCGCTGGGGACTCTCCCTCGGCGCTGGGGACTCTCTTCCCTCTTCCGACGTCATCCGCCGAATACGCATACACGGCAAGTGCCGCACGCACATTCAGTCAGTCCATAGGAAAGCATTTTTCAATGAGACAGCCACTAGAGGCTGGATTAACCCTAATGTAAACATAGCGGCTATGTTTACAGCCGCAGAGTTAACCCTAGATGGACCTGGTACCCAGACCACTTCACTGAGCTGAAGTGGTCTGGGTGCCTATAGTGGTCCTTTAATCACCTAACTGGAGATCTCAGTTCTTGTTTTACAAATCATTCTGTATTTTGAATACAGCTCATCCTGTATTCTGAACTTCCATAGCAGGTAGTTTGTAAATGTGAGAACAGGCACAGCCAACACAATCCAATTCCAACACAATCCAAAGATAGAAGAAAGTGTAGGAATTATTTTGTCTTGTGGGAAAGCCTGAAGTTAGCAAAAGTTGACAAAAGGAGGAGTTTTCCTGTCCAGAACCAGTCCAGTAACAACGGTGAAATTCGGGGTATCATCTCACTTATTTCAAAAGGTGATCTGCGGAGTCTCCTGTAGTCTCACGGGATCCTCCATAGACCTCAGTGTAGTACTTTGGTGCATGCAGATGAATAACCAGGAACCCAAAGAATGTCTGCAGAAAGACAATGGCAGTGGTTGTGAGATACACTGTCGGGTAAGTAAACCTTCCTTTCACTGCGCTCCACCCCACAGGACCCTAACTGGACATGCCACCTTTGGGTGTGATGTATCCACTTTAATTAGATCTTTTTTCCTGATTACCTGTTTCCAAGAGTATGTTTCACTGTATTACTCTCAGCTACCAAGAACCTGATTGTCGAATTATACTTCTTTTTGGGTTGACAGCAAATTATTGCTGCTTGCTTCTGCATCTATCCTCTGTGAAGTGGTAATCATTGTAAGATTTATCTTGCAAGCCAAGAGCTGATTTTACACGGCACAATCTTTCTGACCTGTATTTCTATCAAAGAAGGAGATCTTGAGAGTAATTTAAATATAATTTCTTAAAGATTCCCTTAAAGTAATATTAGATGCTAGATTGCTTTGTTTAAAAGGCCCTGTGAAGGTTTCGATTCATTTTGCAACTTGAGCACGATGACCCTATTCATTGTCAACATTTTTACTGTGATACTTCCTTGTTGCAACAGTTCATCTAAAGCCAAGACATCTTGTACTGATGCACATGTTAAAAATAATGTAAACTAACAAAACATGTTTAAAGGGATTCTATAGCATTAAGAATACAAAATTGTATTCCTAACACCATACAAACCTCTGGTCCCCCCTCTCCCTTGCAATCCCCCACGGATTTGTTTACTCACCTGATTCCAGCACAGATCTCCCTCAGTGCTGGATCAGTGCTCTGCCTCTTCCATCATCTGTCATCTGATGGGAGTACTCTATGCATGTGGGCGTTGAGTGTCTTGCACACAACATGAGGCCTTCCCCATAAAAAAAACCATTAAATCAATGATTTCCTATGGGGATTTCACTTACGCTGGATGTCCTAATGCAGAGCGTGAGGACGTCCAGCATTGTTTAAGGGAAACAGAGTCTGGTAAATTCATGGAAGCACTTCTAGTGACTGTCTGATAGATGGGATGTGCATGGGCAAAAAATTTGGTTTGGTTCGGAAATTCGGGTAAGTAAAAAAATGTATCTGCTTTGGCAATTCGGACCAATGGCATTCTGTTCAGTTCGACACTTCGGAAATTCGTAAGCATCCAAATGTCCGAATGGCATGAAATTCGTATGAATGTACATTCGGAACAAAACAAATTGCATATGTCTGTGGTCACATGATTGCAAGCCATCACCTTGACAGCTTGATTTATATACTATCCCATTTCAATGACTCTGTGTGCCTTCATTGGCCAAGTGTCAGTGACAAAATCACCAATATTGTAAAGTGCTACGGAATCTGTTGGCGCTATATAAATGGCAATAATAATAATTATAATTGGCTGTCGTCTTACATCAATCGCAAAAATGTGCTCATTTCATTGGACAGGGAATAGTGAAACCGGATTGGGTAAGCAAGCATTACATTGCACAACAGGAGTTAGCTTATTGGTCAAGATTGCGGTCATCATTCACGTAATTTTCCCTCCCTCTCTCTTGTTTTGCCATTTTTTAGAAATCCGAATCACTTCAGAGCTTCGGGGCTTCGGCACTTCTGAACTCCCAAATTGCGTCTCTTCGGAACTTTGTAAGCATCCGAATGTCTGAATGGCATGAAATTTGTACGAATATACATTCGGAACGAAACAAATCGCACATGACTACTGGTAGACAGATTGTGAAAAACTGCAATGTTTTACATTGCAGGACTAAGGGGGACAGATACATTTCACCCAGGCTACTTGTATGAGCTGAAGTGATCTGGGTGCAAATAGTGTCTCTTTAATTGAATGGCTAAAATATGTGTTCATCTGAGAAGTTGCAAGTTACTAAGAAGGAACCTCTGTTAGCTCTCCTGAGCTAAATACTGCAATGCAGGACTTAGCTCATTGTCTGAAAATGTCAGTACTGTAATGCAGGGCTTAATTTAGCAAAGTTCCTGTTTATGAACCTACAGCACTGCAGGTAGTGGAGGTGGACAGGGTGCCTGGCACACCCCTGTTAAGAAATCATACATTGAAAAATGGGGTTTGACACATTATGGTGAGAGGTTATAGTCCTTGGAGTGTTCCTTTAATAGGAATAATGAAATGCACTATATCATTTTGAGGCAGATCATTTATAAACTCATATACCATGTTTGTAGTGTTATTGCAATGTCAAGTGCATGAAAGTAGGACTAGGTAGCAATTTAACATAATAGTAGCATAACATATTAAATGGTTATTATTTTGTACAAAGTATCATTATATTATACACTTGGGGACCTACAGGCCCCTAAGTGAGATTGGGCATATTCTAGTCATCATTCTAATGTGAGACTACTGTTCTTATTATCTTCAGGATCCTGGAAGATGCAGTTCTACGGCAGCTGGAGGTTATTGGTAATTGTAAGTCAAAGAATATTTACTAGCATTAGCATTTAAACATGAAAAGCCGGCTCTCTGTACAGTAGATCAAAGTGAGTATCCACCCGTTTTCCATCGCATTTCTGTGTACTGGCAAACTGACAAGGCTGGCTAAAGATTAAAGAAACATATGACATCAGTAGCTACCCCCTACGGAACCTGCTATTTAAAAGAAATTAATAAATTAAGGGTTATATTAAACCATTTCTTTTGTTATTTAATTCAGCATTTCTAAAGCTGGAGAATCTTTGGATTTCCTTGCCTTTTGGCAAATCGATATGGCTAAGATTCAAACCAGTTGTTATAGATTGATAGGAAGCTGCAATGTCATTAACTAAAAAGATTCCTCTCTGTACACCGGGACTACCATTATCTAGCTCATTGTGAATGATAAACTGAACTTATCACAGTGGACCTTTAAAGGTTAGAAGGGTGTTTTAGGTCTATGTATTACATGAGTATGTATTACCTTTAACATCTGCATCAACACAGTCATTAAGAAATTTTTTTAAAAAATAAATACTTATTGGGCTATGTACAAAAATGAGAATTTGTTCAAAGTGAATTTCCAATTTAATGCCAAATTAGCCGAAATAAAACAATGGCTGATTAGCCAATTTTTCCAGTTTGACTATTTAAAATTTAAAATTTACTTTGAATTCTCACTTTAGTAAAGAACCCTGCTAGATATTTCATTACATGATATATTGAGTACAAAGCTTATATTTTCACTTTCCATGTACATGTCACTTCTGTTTTTAGAAGTGGTCATGGTGATAGGAATCTGTATGTGCAGAGTATCTGCTTGAAATGCTGCACAGACAAATAAATATTTACACTTTTGTGCCATACTTGACCTGGGCATCTCCGAATTGCCTGATCTTAATTCTGTGCAAAAATACATCTGTAGTCAGGGCACACAGCTACATTCCAGTAGCACATGATAAGCAAACTCCGTAGCATCTTCAGATCTAAAACAAGTATGGATCTATGTGAAAAAGACAATAATATTTCAAATCAATGCATTCTGGTTAGGTGTTCTTTTAAAGATTTCTACCGGCATTAAATCCAGCATTGTGCATCCTCAGAATATTATTGGCTGACTGAGCATCATTGGAAATGTCATTACAAACATGTGGGTGCCAAGGCTGGCTACCTGATACTTTACACAGAGTAGCTTACTACCGTGAATTATGTACATGTGTTTTCTGGCAGCAGTGGGCTTGTCTAACTTGGCATGGGTTCCAGTAATTAGTATGGGTTACGTCATGTTTCTTTTTTCAGTTCTATAAATCACATGCTAGACAATGAGAATATATCTTCAAACGTCTGCTTTGGTTATTTATATATTTTTTTTAATAGAACTAAAGTATTCTATTGAATATATGGTTTTCATATTTCCAGCTGTGTTGGCAACTTATCCAGGATGTAGCTTTGTTTCCCTACAGAGTGTCTCTTAGATCACACAGGAATTCTAATGCTATCAGGTGTGCTCAGTATTCTACTCTCTATTCATGGTGCGCTGGCTTATACAGATATTATGGTCCAGCTGCAGTAGCCTACTAGACTATCTTGTTTTTTTACTTAATCTATAGCGAAGGTAGCTTTCGTGTTGTTTGGTCACATTACTAAATAGTCATATTGTTTTTTTCCAGTAAAAATAATCCACCTATAAAGTATTTTGAAAATAATTTATCAGTGATAGCCCCTGTTAAATAATCCCTACTATAGGCAATGTTTCTTTAAATGCTATACTTTTTAATATCTTCTTTAAAAAAACAGAATAATATTCCCTTTAAGTTACTTTTCTAGATAGTTTTTTTAATTAAATGTCTTAAGGTAAAACTTTCTCTTTGTATATAGTGTTGTAGAATATTTGTTTTGATGCTGAACTAAAATAAATAATAATAACCACAGTATGGCTCTGGAATAATTACCCTGAAAGATAGGGCTTTGTCCTACTATGGTCCTCTCTGCCAGGGGGCTCTGGAAACACCGCCCCTGGTGGCCGCCCCAGCCCACTGCTCCACAGGAGTCCCTCTACTATCATTCAGTCCGGGCATGGCCAGTTCTCCACCATTGGCTCAGGCAGGGGTCAAGAGGTTTACGAATTTGGTAGATGATATATGACGCAGCCAGTAAAATGATCTCTGTATTTTGCCAATATTGCCTTCAAATCTTCAAATGTCCTTGTGTCTTCCACCAACACCACACATCGCCTGAATGGGGGAGTACATGGTTTCCTCCAGAAAGCATGGATTTTTTCACCTTTGCAGCAAAAAAGGAGTTAGGGAAACACATACCATTTGTATGCCGGGGTCGACATGGTAGTATGGTGAAGAAGAAATGGTGCTGGCGTCATCGGCAGAGGTTCATCTGACACCTCCCGTATCACCTATCCGATCGCCTCCCAGAATGGTCTGACAAGATCACATTCCCACCGTGTATGTGTGAGAGTCCCTACTGCATCCCTGCAGAACTGGCTTAAAATTTGCAGTTCTCTTGTTAATTCTCCATAATTTCTAGTTTAGTGACTGAGCCCAAATAATGCATAACTAAGATCTTGTTATAGATTACTGAAGAAATGGGCAAGTATAGCAGTATATACATAACAAAATAATAACCAATTGCTAGAAAAATTCAGCAGTAAATATCGAAACTACACTTGCTCACAAATTAGCATCAGCTGATACGAACAAATCAAAATGTCTTTTCATTTGTGTAGAAATGAATCGACCCATCTCGGATTTATCTATGTAGTCTTTCATAGAATAAGATTCCACAGGTAAATCCAGGACGGATTAATTTGTTTGGGTGCAGATTAAGGGAAATTTGATTTGTTTGTACAATAGAAAACCATGGATACATCAGACACATTATGCTGCTTTCTTCATTTTAAGCATTTTTGTTTATATTTTAACTCCTTAAGCGCACATGATGGAAATATTCCGTCATGATTCCCTTTTAATCCAGAAGTTGTGTCCTTAAGGGGTTAAATCTGCTTGCTGCTCACATGTCCCTTTACATAGGAATTCCACTAGTTTTGATTCACATCAATATAAATAATTTGAACTAAGACTAATTCAAAATAAATGGTAGGAAGTAGCTGCTACAATAGCTGCTACGCATGTTGGAATAAGGCTGTTCATGACTGCCAGTAATTTCTAACATATTATTTACCGATAAACATAGCCCTTATTCTTTATAATACAGCATATAAATAATCCATAACACAATTAGTAATCGGGATACATACTGTGCCTTGAGATATGCAAGGATCGGGGCACAGCAGACTCTATGTGAATTAAGGGGAATTTAGGAAATTAATGTAGCTATCATAAATATGATAAGATTGTGCTGACAATCATGATACTGGTATATGTGTAGAGTACTGCAGAAATGCTGGCACTTGGACAGAACAGAGTTTGCTAAATGTACTTGTGAATGCACTTTTTTCAGATTTTACTTTAATGGTCCAGAGATTTGGGGAAATAAATTGGGATTTATTTGCCAGATCCTGGAAGATTGGAAAGAACAAAAGAATGATTAGCGCACATTCACAATGTACGCTTTTATATAACTCACTTTTTTACCCCAGTATAGCTATAAAATATAAGCTATATAGTAGAGCAATCAACACACCCGCACTAGATGCGTGTTAAACCTGCGATGAAAATATTGCTGTTCCAAAAGAATGGTAAGGTGTTATATAGCAAGCTTGAACAGACAGCATCACTGCAACCAGACCACTTCATTGAGATGAAGTGGATTGGGTGGCTTTATTGTCCATTTAGAGGGACACTATAGTCTATAGTGATAGACAGCCACTGGAGGCAGTCTTAGTCTTGCAAGGTAGTTATTGCAGTTTCTCAAAACTGTAATAATTTACAATGCAGGACAAAGTGGGACAGGGTCACTGCACCCAGACCACTTCAATGAGCTGATGCAGTCTGGGTGCCTATAATGTTACTTTTAGTAAAGTGCTCCTCCAATGATGTATGAAAGCTCTGTATTTATTTAGTCAGTGACAAACATTGTATATTTCAACCCATATGGATCTTTGTCAAAATATAAGTGAATAAATACAATAAAAGCGCATTATCCCAGGGCCTGATGTACACTTTGAAATAAGAAGTAATAATTGTTTTTGGTACCACAGGATGGAAGAGCCATGAAGAGTAAACATTAGTTGCCAACATCAAAGCAAAACCTATGCTAAGTCACTTTGGCTATTTTCAACTCAAAGGCAAATCTCTAATTTAAAAAAAACTTGTGACAGAACCGCAGTTCTGCCACTAAGCAGAGACATTCACCCAAATTTCTCACTTAAGAGCTAATGCCACTCTCCCTGGTTTTCCATTTACCAGGCACAGCCCCAGAGAACTCGCTCACTCCAACCCACCTGGTGATTGAGGCCCCTCGCGGAAAGCTGCGAGTCTCCTAACGCTCACTCTGGCCGGCTGCATGGAACTCGCCATCAGGTCGGAAATCAACCGCGGCCAGCTAAGACTTTAACCTGGTGACGACTCTACACCGTGAGTGCAACGAGAACACTCTTTGATCGATGGAGGTGAAGGGGGAGATAAGACATGCCGTTTCATATGTTTTGGGGTATATTGTAATGGCGCCCTGATGGATACTTAACTTAACAGTTATTGATCTTGTTATCTCCCACACTCAAAGGTGCCAGATTGGGCCATGGACCTCCTGTTGGGTTTGTGTGTATAAAAGTGTTTAACAAATGTTGGCAATTTTAATTGAAAAAAAATAGCTTAATTATAAAAGATTCTTTATAATCTCCTAGATGATAATATACATTGGCTTTAACTGAACTAGATGCACCTGGGTCTGGAGACAACCATACTTTATGCATGGTTTTAAAGTCGTTTCTGTTATTGTTATGAATGATTGTATGTCCACGATTTCCCAGAGGATTAAAGGAATGGAAAATAATCCATTAGACACTCTTGTCATTAGTTTATTTGATAAAGCTGAAAAGGTCCTGAAAACCTGTGCAAGGACATGTCACTCACAATTCTTCCAATTTGTGAATGCTTATACAGTCAGTATGTGATTGATACAAAAAAAAAATGAATAAAATTACATGCCTACCAATAATATTATCCACTATGATGTTTATCATCCACTTTAATTAAACATCCCCCTCAATTGTTACAATATGTTTCTTTGTACTGTATGTTGTACTTATTCAAACCAGATGCAATATTTCATTCACTATTAAATGCAATCCACTTACAGAAGAATGATGGAGTGCAGGTAATTACATTTTTAAAACATTTTTTTTTCATTTGGCAGCTACAATGAAATGCTGTTAATAAGATTATTTTTATAGAACTTAAAACCAACCTAGTAATGTATATAAATCTCTTAGAGAGTTAGCATGGGGAGAGATTAGCCTTCCGATTTGATACTGACATGTGAGCTATGTTAATAAATATAATATTATTATTATTATTATTATTCCATGTTATGGCATATTTTACTTTTAAAAACGAAGTGGCATCAGAAAAATGCCTATATATTTAATCTGTAATTTCATCATCTGCACTGCAGGTACAATATTCGTAAACTATATCTACATAATATTTGCATGTGTTGGATAGAGCCTTTCCATCACAGCAGCCATATGTATCATTGACTACTAGAGTTTTAGAATTATTATATGATTCCTTTTGGACTACGTACTCTGCTACATCTCTTTTTATACTTCATTGTCATAACATTAATTGATTTTCCATACTATTGTTGGCTTGTACAACATATCAGTAACTACAGGGTTATTCACTAAGTTGAGAATTCAAGGTGAATTTAAAGGGAATTTCAAACTTGAGGTTTGAAGAGTGAATAAGAAAGATTCTCTAAGCCAGCTATCCTTCAAGTTCAGCTACTGTGGCCTTAAATTTATAATTCACTTTAAATTCTCACTTTAGTATATACATATAAAATATACTTTTATATAGTGAAAAATAAAGAATTACACTGTATAGATTGTAATACAGGTACTCCTCACTTACTGACCGGGTTCCATTCTTACGACCCGGTCGTAGAACAAATTGGTCGGTAAGTGAGGAGTTGAGGGATTCCCTGCTCTGGTGCGTTGAACCAAACCTGCTCCATACCAACCTGGATTGCTTACAACCCTACTTTATCCTGCCAACTTGAATTATACAAACCTGCATAACCCCTATCTGGATATTGCTGCTACCTCCTATTTACAAGGTGTTATTTCCTTACCCTGAAACCTTATTGTTCTTTTTACTTGTCTTACTATGCTACCTATACTTTTATCTCTAGCTTTCTTATTATTTGCAAACATCCTGATTATTTTCTATATAGGGCATATTGCCTAAACCTTTATTTCTCTCACCTTCCTTCTCCTTATTATTTCATTCTATAAGTAATCCTGCTGTTGTGTCAATACCTACCAATAAAACCTCTTTTGTTAACTCTGGCCAAAGTCTCCTATCTGACCTGAACAAGATCATGACAGATGGTTTCCATAAAATATAAACTGCAGGTATTTTATTAGACGTAAACTCAATGCCTTGTGATTATACTCCAGTAACACAAGATTTAACTTATAGTGACAACAGAAACACTACATAAGATATAACTGTGCAAGTTAACAGGTATGAAACGTTAAACACAATGGCATGTCATTTCTCAAAGTGGTGAAAGGTGATCAGGAGAACATAATTAATAACCTTAGAATGCTCTGGCTGCAGTTGCTCGGAGATTAAGATAAATGTATATGCAAATAAATGCAAATCAATAGCTGAAACATTCGGATGCTACTCACAACATTCACACAACAATGGTAACAGAGGACAACTTCAATGGCACTGATACAGAGATAGCTTCTGTTTCAAACCTAAGCCTTAAAGGAACACTATAGTCACCCAGACCACTTCAGCTCAATGAAGTGGTCTGGGTGCCATGTCCCTCAGGTTTTCACCCTTCACATGTAAACATAGCAGTTTCAGAGAAACTGCTATGTTTACATAGCAGGGTTAATGCAACCTCTAGTGGCTGTCTTCCTGAACGTCCATAGGAAAGCATTGAGAAATGTTTTCCTCTGCACAGTTAGAAGGCGGCCGTGGCTCTTGCCGCGCATGCGCATTCCGCTCCTCTCGGGAGCTGACGTCGGCGGGGGAGGAGAGGTCACCAGCGCCGAGGGAGCCCATAGCTGGATTAAGGTAAACTGCTGAAGGGGTATACCAATATTAATTTTAAATTATTATTATTTTTTTTAAATTCTTTAATTTTTCTTGTGCATAAGATAACATACAAGCTTGCATAGCCACGACAGCAGACGCAAGCATTTCAACAATATTTATGTACGTGTCAGAAAAATACAGCACATTTTATATATATATATTGAGAATAACAAGCTTTGATGCATTAGTAAAACGTAGTGTTAATGCCAAGCTACATAAGCTTATTAAAATAATGGTTATGCTTAGAGTTATAGGTGTGTGGCATAGCATTTATGAGGAGAGTAATCGTTGTTACTTTGTTAAGCAGGCTGAGATATGTTTACATGAAGTACGTATGAGAGGTTAGATTATGCACCTAGATTGAATGTACTCCTATGGCTATCGCATGGTACAACATAAAATCAATAGAACATAAGATTAATAATGCCAGCGAGAAAGTAAAGTAATATAATAAAATAATAAAATCCCCTAGGGTCTCCCAGACATGAGTCCTTCTCCAACCGAGCCGGCTGGTAGAAAAGTATGCCCCCAAGTTCGTGGTGAGGCTTAGGGTGCCGTGTCCGGTCTCTCCGTCAGGAGACCAGGGACTCGATTAGCCCAGGGTGGTTTATCCAATGCCGCGTTGTGGCTGTTTAGTGCCCTGCTGCGAGTGCTCGTGGAGCCGCCTTGTGTTGCAGTGATCTATCGTGTATGGTTGGGGTTGACTGGCTGGACCGTGCGGCTGGAGTATAGTCACCTCTGTTGTGGTGAGTACTTGAGGAGATCTTGTGCTCAGTCTCATCTGTTCCCTCCATGTTGCTGCCTTGCGTGGAGGAGGTGAGTGTTTGACTCTCTGCCGCCATCTTGTGGCTTTGTTCCCTGCTGGGGCTGCTCGTTGTCGCTGGGGTCAGGTGGCAGCTGACACGGTGAGTGGCTTTCTGACGGTAGTATGGTACTTTGTTGAAGTCTGTGCTACAGCTTGAGCCAGAATTCTTGAAATATGTGGTCCAGGTTGGACACATGTTCATGTTGCACCTCTTGGTTGTCTGAGGGCCGCGTGGTCTCCGCCATCTTTGGTGCGCCTCTCATCTCTCCAGCTAACCTCCCTGTTACTGCCGTGTCGAGGAGGACCCCCAGGGGTGGACCGGGATTACCCCCGCTGGTCCAGGGGGGAGTTCTGCGGGGTGCCCGCTTGGAGCAGTCGGTCCTAAGGCAGCTCCAGACCGGGAGATCGGCCGCCTCTTCCATCCGTCGCCCGCCGGGCCGCACACTCTCGCGGGCATATCTGGCCGTCTGTTGTCCGCTCATGGGCTGCATCACCGGGTCACCACGGGGACTGAGGGCTGGTAAGTCGCTTAAGGTCTCAGTTGAGGGTTATTTGTGGTCAAGAAATGCCATTTTAACTTAGCATAGTGAGGAGCTCTAGCAAGGCACGTCTTCCCTCCATGACAGTCAGGCCCCGTCCACCCCACCAATATTAATTTTAAACATGATGACCTGCTTTAGAAAATGCTTTGCATCTTCCCTTCCTAAACTGCACCTAACTAATCAAGTCTTTAAAGCGTCATATCTTTTAACATATAACAGTAACGTTTATTTTATAATTTCATTTGTTAGAATAATGCTGATTTTGCATCTCTGGCTACTGCTCTAAGAAATAACTCAGACTGTTGATCATTCTTGATCACTGTTCTTCAGATGCACTCCACTGAAACATTTGGAACATTTTGTTTTTAATATCCGTGTACCAAACATGAAAAACAGCAAGGATTATGCATCTCGGAATGAATTCTGTTTTGGAAAGAAGACATATAAAATGTTACTAAATACAGCCAAATCAACCCCAACAATAAAGCACTGTCCAAAAACATCAAGGACATTTGTTGGAAATACATTTATTGAGCTTCAAGAAAGGACAAGCCATGGGATTTCTTGGACGTTAGTTGCATCTTTGCTGAAAACAAGCATCGGGGTTAGTGGAATGTTAAGTTAACCTGTGGGGAACTTTTTCACTGAACATACAATTGATACTGTTTGGATGCTGCTGTTCACAAGAGATAGATTCACAGGGCAAGATAATAGACGGACACTGATTCAGACATTGTTTATAAAAATAATAAAATTCACACTTTTTTGGTAAGATCTGAATTGTCAGGAATTTGAAGTGAATTCAAAGCCAATATCAATTTTTAGATCAAAATATCCAAACTACAGCATGGTCCTCAGCCTACTGTTCCTGTAACATATTGTATTTGTTTCATTTATTGTTAAATTTCCCCCTTTTATAATATTGTAAAGTGCTGCAGAATAAGTTGGCGCTATATATAAATGGCAAAAATAGTAATAAAAAACTGCTGACGGAGTTTTTTCCTCAATTCAGCTACTTTGTTCTAAAATTTAAAATTACTTTGAATTTACATTGGTTTAACTATAAAATACACTAACAGAGGTTTTACCTAGACTGAGAGTTGTTGGGAGTTCAAAGTGTATTTAAAGTGAACGTCAAATTAAGGCCAAATAAGCTAAGCTGGAAACACAGCTGACTTGGAGAATTTTTCCAGTTCAGCTTCCACTGCCCAAATACACTAAAATCACTGTTTACTAAATATACCCAAATAAAAACTTGCATGCATTTAATAATGCATTTTGTTCATTGCAGTTATATCTAAAGACAGCTTGCAAAAACGGCAGAATGGTTTCCTTTGGAAGCCCTCCCCTTCTAATCCCGCCCAGACTTTCTGTGACTGTCCAATCAAAGACTTCCCAGTGCAGCTCAATGAGAAGTCATTGCAAGGCAGCTGCTCCTGGTAATTGCTGCCTTTTGAGTTCAGTGCAACTAAGCTAACCAAACCAGGAAGTAACAGGACCTATTGTCTGCTTGAAAAACCAGGGGGTGTAACCAGTACTATTTATAAAAGCGTCAATTACTATTGAAATCTGTACTCTTCATACATAAAGCTTTTCAGCAAGCTAAAGCGATTTAGGGGTCTGGAGTGCCCCTTGAAATACACGTTGAATTACCAGCAATTCTCACTTTAGTGAATAATGTTGTTAGTGAATACCCTGTAGAAGGTAGCAGTTGAATCTTCAGTCTCCAGGGAGAGATTAATACTGAAAGTTGTTAGGGATAGTGTAATTTGCAGTTTGGGAAAAGTGTGCATAATGGATAGTGATAGTGCTATTTGTAGTCCAAGAGAAGTGGGCAGTAGAGTATAGAATAGTAGAGGGCTCAGTGAATTGCAGTCTATAGTAGTATAGTGGAAAGGGATTGTAGGATTTGCAGTAAGAGAAAAGTGGCCAGTGCAGCATAATGGTAATGTGAATCAGTGGGTGGCCTAGTGGGATTAATCAGGAGCAGGGGTGGGGAACCTTTGGCCCTCCAGATGTTTTGGACTACATCTCCCTTGATGCTTTGCCAGCATTATGGCTGGAAGAGCATTATAGGATATGTAGTACAAAACATCTGGAGGGCCGAAGGTTCCCCACCCCTGATCTGGAGGCACATGTGAGCAGTGCGCCCTCTGCACTCCCTCTTCATATCTGTGAAAATGAAAAATAACATAACATTTTAGGATAGCAAGAAAGGAAAAAGTTAAAAAATGTTCATATAAACTGCTTCTAAACACTAGCCAACACTATCTGTGTATCCATATATTTAAAAACCAATAACTATATATTATCACTAATATGAGGATTTAAATGGTTTGTTTAAAAATCTATTTAAAAACCAGCAAAATGAATAAACCACTTAACAGTAAATTTATGGCTCTTTCAAAATCACTATGAGAGATATGGACTGTAGGAAGTGATAACGGTTTCTTTGATCAAGTTATAAAGTGGAACAAAGATTACCTGTTTGAAGTGATGTATACACATAAACCAGACAAACATTGATTAATTTATGCTATTAGTTTTACAGTAATAATAAATCTTTAGGAAGTTTATTGTCTGTGATCAAAGTTAAAATATAACATTTGTGATGATATATTACAGTTTTCTTTGTATCAAATAAAGCATTAGCTTCAAAACTTTTCATGAACGCTTTTTGCTGTAGCTATTGCGCAGCATCTATTTGTTCAACGTGAATATAAAAGAAAAATGTCGATAAACGATCCACTAGCAGAGTTATTCACCAAACTGTGAAATGACTATGGAATCAAAATCTATAGGCCATTTTTGAAAAAATGCTCCAGCTCAGCTTTTTTCCCCAGCTTTGCAATTTGACCTAAACGTTTGAAAGTTCTTGTCATTTCCTGACAAAGCCCACTTTAGTGAATAACTGTCTTTTTGAGTTAGTAGTTGTTTAGCTGCAGTAGTTGTAATAGTTGTTTTATTAGTCACCTTTCACTGGGATAAAAAAGTGGTTGATTATTACTCTTCTATCTCTAACTTTGACCCCAAAACTATTTTTAATGTTATTTAAAAGCACACTTTGACCTAAATTCCATAACATGATTCTTCCTTTCTTTACGTTGTGATTTTCTTTATTCTTTATAATGTGAACTTTGAGGTAAATGTTATTATAATTCAAAATTCATTGGTTACACTACAAGTTCCAAATTTACAATGGCGATTGCTCCCTCTGCTCTGAATCTTGATTGATGTCTGAGATTAGCTAGCAATCAAGTTACTCTTTGCAAGTTGTGATGAAAAAGAAATGTTTATGCTCCAAAAACATATCAATATTTTGAGTGAAACTTCAGAAAAAAAGGCCCTTAAGTCAAGCAAAACATGGAAGATCCATCGTTCAATAAATATACATTAATACAGTTCAGTTTTGTGGTAATGTTTAAAACTAACCACGGACTATGTATTAAATGTCCTCCTCTGGGATTAGACAAGTCCTATCTAGATGGTCACCATAGTATCTATATTGATATGTGGTGGCAATAGCCAAAGGTCAAACGAATTTGGATAGTAAACTCCATGCCTTAATGCACCACCCAATAATTCTAGATCCTGCGGCCTTACTTCTTGTCAGACCATTGGAGGTTTTTTAAACAGACACGAGAACTGTTTAATGGCCAGAATCCTCTTAGCTGCTAAGAAAGCTCCAGCTAATATTTGAACAACTGATAGGGTCCTTCATCTTTCTAACGTCTTAAGGGATACAATTGCGGATACCATGTTAATAGCTATGACCAGGGACACCACAAAGCCCTTTTACACAATCTGGATCCCATGGCAAAATTATGCACAACCGCTATTTTGATAAGGCAGCCAGCCTTTCTCCTATTGGACAGAGCAGCCCATCTTCTTCTCCCCCTGTCTCTTTCCTTTTCTTAACTTTTCTTTCGGTCACTTTCTGTTACTATTTTCTAAAATTGTGTATTTGGCAAAATCAAATTTTTACAATATTGTGTACTCTTTCTCTTATTGTTTTATGTTTTTGTCAAATGGAGAATTAAATATGTATAATTAGCAAGTCATAGAAGAATAGTATTATTTACTTCATTTATTATTATTATTATTATTATTGTTGCCATTTATTTAGCACCAACAGATTACGTAGCACTTTATAATATTATGAGAGGGGGGATTTAACTATAAATAGGACAATTTCAAGAAACCTCACAGGAACAATAGGTTGAAGAGGACCCTGCTCAAATGAGCTTACAGTCTATAGGAGGTGGGGTATAAAACACATTAGGACAGGAAATAGCAATCAAATAAGGTGGGAGTGAAACAGAGCTGGAGGAGAGAGTAGAGTGCATTTAAACTCATTCAAGATGCATAGCCTAATCCCTTCACCCAATAAAACATGCAATCATATGACCAAAGCCAGCAAATTTTTTAAACATGTTCAGCCATTCAACATTAACCACATCCTGCCTGCTGAGTGTTTTATTAAAGGTCGCTATCATATTTGAAAACACAACAACTTTTTTGCTCTGCTATATCTTCGCTATATCTGTAAGAAAAAAAGGGGTAATATGATACTGCCGTCATGAACCACATACCCAATTTTTTTATGATTGGCTTCTTTATTTCATCTTGAACCTCATTGACATTAGATACTGATAAGGCATACAGTCAGTGGCGTACACACAATCCATGGGGCCCCGGTGCGAAACTGATCCATGGGGCCCCTCCCTCTCCCCCCCCGACAGACACACACACACATATATACAGACACACATACATACACACAGACACATACATACACATACATACATAGAGACACAGACACATAGACACAGACAGATACATACAGACACATACACACACACACATACATACACACAGACAGACACACACAGACACATACATACATACACATACATAGAGACACAGACACGTAGACACAGACAGATACATACAGACACATACACACATACATACACACAGACAGACACACACACACACATACATACACACAGACAGACACATACAGATAGACAGATACACACACAGAGACACACATACATACATACACACAGACAGACACACACACACACACACATAGAAAGAAACATACATACATACATACACACAGGCACATACAGACAGACACACAGACATGCAGACACACACAAGACACATACATACATACATACAAAGACACATACATACATATAAACAGACACGCACACATACAGACACACACACACATACAGACACATACATACAGACACACACACAGACACACACATATGCATAGACACACTTACATTCACACAGACACACACACGTACAAAGAAACATACATACATACACACATACAGACACATACATACAGACATACACACACACAGACACATACACACATACAGACACAGACACACAAGACACACATACATACAAAACACATACAAACAGACACACACATATACAAAATATTTTAGTCACCCTCCTGTTTCCTACCTTTTAGGTGCAGGAGGGTGACATTCCCTGGGGTCCAGTGGTGGCTCAGGCTGGTGGGAGTCAGAGTTCCTGTCCTTCCTCCAGCGCGGCTCCTGGTGGTTGCTGGGAGGAAGTGACCGGGGCAATCACTTCCTCCCAGCAGTGATGTCATTCGCTGTAAAATCGCCGCAACTTTAAAGGGGAATACTTACTAAGCGCTGACAATTTTTTATTTGCATTGTATATATAGGATTTGGGAAAATTCTTTGTTTGTTTCAGCTGCTGATACCTATTGTACATTTTAGGTACTATATTTTGCACTTAGCCACTTTTTACACTGATACTAACTAAGGTTGGATAGCCAATTAGCTAAGACGCAGTGTTTTACATTATATATGCGCTCTCTTTATTGCAATCTATGGTTTATGTTTACAATAATCAGGTTAGTGAATACACTCGTATTTAAACATTTGCTTATTTTTTTGTCAAAGAGGCCTACTCGGGATGTGGGCTACTTAGTATTCTTCCATTGCACTTTTTTTTTAATATACCGTTCTTCTAGTAGAAGCTTATGAGCAGCCAGCGCTTGTCTTGCTTATTAAGCCAACAAAGTTGGAACAAGATATCATCGTTAATACAAGACAGAAGCACTTAGCATTCAAACAGAAACATTTTGGAGAAAAGAAATGTTATAAGTTAGTTTACTTCAACTAATTTAAAAATATGCACGGATTGATATGTTTGTAAAACAAATGTACACATTCAGCTATAAAATATACGTAAACGGTTTATAGAGGGCCATTAGGTTTTGTTAATGGGGGTGGCAATGTTTAAATTTGGAATACTTTTATGAATACTAGGCTATTATAAATATTCAGAAAGACTTTACGTTATGGTAATTGATCAAATCAACATTTGTTTGGCTGGTCTGTTCAGGAAGTCATTATTTTTCGATTTTGAGGGTTATTTTGTTGTTTTCCAGTGTAAGAGTGTATTTTAAAATATAAATATGTCACAGCATCCAAGTAATGTTCCCTTGGTAACTGTCAGAGAACCAGAATAAATTACAGGAAAAAAACTGAAAACTAAACCAAGTTGGGCTGAACCAAGTTCTCTGCTCCTGCTAAAGTATCAAAGTAGGAAGTAGGAAAATATTACTCTTGAGATTATTAATAATAATTTGCAATATAATTATTTTTAAAAAGAACATCTTACATGACCATGCTTTTGAATGTACTATGATTTTCTGAGTACTGGAATTTGGTTAGTCTGTCTGTCCAACCATCCATCCATCCAGTGCATCAACGAGTCTTACTTGATGTACTGCTTTACACAATATAAGGCTAAAAAGTAATACATAACTCAACAAAAATGACTTCTGCTTGGAGCATTCTTTTTGTAGTTTGTTATTATACATCTGAGAAATGCATCTTTGTACATCAAAACGGATGATAACACAAAAGACAAGACATAGCAATTTGACTCTGTGTATGTTCGTTTTTAATTAACTTTTATAGGTTTAAGTCGTCATATGTTTTTAAAATATGGATTTCCAAAGAACATTAGAGTACGAAGGGAATTGCATATGAGTCCTAAAGAATGTCGTGTTTTGTTTTTTGCCAAACTGCTTAAAAGCAGTATGACAAAAACCTGAGAGATGGGGGCCACCATAACAATAAGCTGAAGTGGCTATAGTACTTGGAGTGCCCCATTAAGAAATATTTGGAAAGGGATGGATTGTGGGTATGCACGATAGGAATGTTACAATTAAATATCTGAACCAAAGGCATAAAGAATTAAATGCACACTATTTAAAGAATATTGGCCTTGGTTTAACATTTTTAGATAAGCTTTTGAAATGATCATGATCTGTTAGAAACGCTTCTCAAATTATTTATCTACAGAAGTCATCTTTAAAGTCTATGGGAACATTTTGTACATGAATAATTTGAAAAGGCTTTCTAACAGATTGTGATCATTTCAAAAAGCGTATCCAAAAATACTAAATCATTGTGTTTAAAAATGTGCTAGTGGTTTATCCAGCATGATTAAAATGTACACACTAAAAATGTACGTTGTGTAGAAATGTTGTATTATTTTGCTTTTTTAGTATACACAGTGGTTAGACTCTCTGTTGGATAATGGTGAATGATAAACAAGTAATGGAAGCCATTTGCAATTACATTCTGTGCCTCCTACTGTGGGTACTGATTGCTTGCATGGTCTTTACAAGTGGATAAAGTTGGCAGAGTGAAGCATCAATCACTTAAAATCTTACTGAAACAGAGTACCATTACAAGAAAAGCAATTTACTAAGTAGAGCATTTAATTATATTATCCAATAAGGTGAATGGGGGAACAAGCACAGGATGTTTGATATTCCCTTGAGCTTTCAATGTACATCATTTAACAGAGGAATGCATCTTTTAGTGTGTGTGCTTGTAAGCTGTGGGTTGCTGTCCGTGGAATAACTGTAGCAACAAATAAATAAACTGCAGCAAAGTTTATTTTTGTTTGCAATCTATTTGTGTAAAGCACACGGTGCTTCAGCTGCTATGCCAGTCCATTTGTTCCGTGGTTGGCCTGATGGTAGCCTTGTTTGTACAGACCACTCTGCAAATGGCAACTTACAGTAGAACTAGGAAATAGATGTCAAACCTCGAACAGATCAGTCACAAATGTTTTTTTTATTTGAATCCAATCTACAGACACAATAAAAATCTTGTAACCAATTTAAATGTTTATTCACTTTCAGATCGTCATAGCAAACACTTATGTATGTATGTATACATTGTATTATTTAATATTATTTAAAAAGAAAAAAAACGCTCTGTTCTTTTATATGAGGTTTTTTTGTCAGTGTTTACTGTAAAATAGCGCGAACATTCCTTGACAGTATAGAATTCCTATGAAATGTTTTTGCCTAAAGCATTTGCATTCATCCCCAGACTAAAATAGGTAGAACCAACTAGACCTGCAGGGAAGCGCTGGTTAAAATTTATTAGATAATTGAACTGGGCATATTTGATCAAGCAAGTAGTAGAATAATCTACATCAAAGGAGACTATGATGAAATAAACACTGTAACACAAAGTACGAAACCTATATCCTCCTTTACAAATCTAGCAATGCAGTGTACATGGTTGGTATTGTGTAGCAGCTCTTGTGATATACCTGTATGTTCCAACCCAGCAGCAGCAATTTATATTGCCTGAAGGGAGTCTCTCGTATTTTCAAGGCCATTAGAAATAGTGACTGATCCGTCAGGATACATATTCACATTATCATTCTAACTATATCAAGACAGGGCCAAAGTATCTATTAAAGGGTTACTCCTGCCACCATAACCACATCTGATTTTTGAAGTGGTCATGGTGGTATCAACCAGGATTTGAACACTGTGCATCCAGAAATATTGCAATTGTGTGCTGGAGGCTAGTTGCACCTCCAGCTCACATGACTTATGCAGCCTAGAACTCTTTACGGAGATGCCTACTTTCAATTCTGTGCATATTTTACATCTGTCGTCAACATGCACTGCACACTGCCAATTGACATAACAATTTCTCCCTTGCAAGCCCTGCATGCAAGTAGATTCTCTTGTCCCCCCTCTGTGCCTGCCTCCCTATCGGCTCCGCTGATATTTTTCCCTCATCCTCTTTCCCCTCCTCTTGCGGGCTCAGAGCACACACATACGCTCTGAAACCATTAATTCCTCCAAGCAAAGGTTTCTCTATGAGAAGCCTTTGAGTGGACCTTGTAGTGGCTCCCCTGACGTGAGACTGGAGCACAACGAGCAGTGCCTGGGGCTGGATTAAGGTAAGTAGATCTTATTTTAAAACACAAAACTTAAATGTCAATAGTGTTATTCTTATTAAATAAAAAGAGGGTTGAGAAAAACCTTTAATGATGCAAGCTATTGAGACCTCTAGCTAAAAAATTTAACTTTAGAACGGAGAGAGAACTAAATTGAAAATAGATGCTTTTGACATAACCTGTTCATCGCCTTTCTGCATGTCTCTTCATGTTTGTGTACAGAAGAACACACATAATAAGTGGTTTCATATTAAAAAGGAGACTCTTGGCTGAATCTTTGTATTAGCCTTTTAATGTATTTTTTGTAAATAACTCAAAAATAACTTTAAAAAGACAAAAAAACACATACAAACTAAACTCATAATGATGTCCTCCACCAAAATACTATAATGTGGGAAATGTAGAGCAATAGGAAAATCATGCATAAAGCACGTCTGTATGCAAATTGAAATTGTACTAACTAATTGCTATATGTGTCAAGTCATGTTTTTCCATGAATAATGCTATTTGTGGATATGCAGACAACACTTACAACCCTCATATGGTATTCAGAAATTTGTATGGCTAGGAGAAGCATAAATCCTCCCATTACATCATGTGGTGGGAGCTAACATGGCTGCAGTGATTTCCCTAGGTAGTTATAGTTCTTGGGGTGTCTCTTTAACCCCTTAAGGACAGAGCTTCAGAAGCTTGTCTTTCACTTAATGACAACAGCATTTTTTGCATTTTTTGCTGTTAACGTTCAACTGCAATTTTCATTTTACTAATTTATTGCACCAACATATATTATATACCATTTTTTAAAGGACAGAAAGGGCTTTAATTTGATGTAACACACATATATATATATATATATATATATATATATATATATATATATATATATATATATATATATATATAAAAATGCTTATTTATTATAAAAAAAATACAGAAAAATGCAAAAAAAATTTAACATTGTGTTTTTTTACAGTTTTTGCAATAATAATGTATGCACAATTAGTGAAGGTTAAGGAACGTAATTAAAAATAAATTCATTTAGTTGTTCTGATTTACAGAATATATAATGTGTCTGGGATTTTACATTTTTTTTGGTAGTTACGGGTCACAAAGCACAATAAGTAAAATAAACTTTTAATGTGGAGCGATTTTAGAATTTGGTATGTTTGTCTTGTAAGCTTAATAGCCATAAAAGAAAACAAAATTGCCTCACAAAAGTATATATTTATATAAAGTAGACATCACAGGCTATTTACCTAAGGTTGTTTTGACACTTTCTACGTAGCCATTTCACCGCCAACCTCCGCTAAATATTGGAGTAAAATTGTGGGGGTTTTTGGTTTTTGGCACACAAACTTATAACAAAGAAATTCTCGTGTGTATTTTGTAAAGTTAGTGTGTGCTATTCCTGTACAAAGTTTTATTTTGTATTCAGTTACATCTGCTGAGTAAAATTACACCCCCATTGTATGTCTTTGGCACTATTTCATGAAGTTACCATTTGTAAAACTAGAAACTCCAGAGTATCTCGTAATGTGCATATTGTGCCTTAGCATGCCCCCATTTTTTCACCAATATATGCCAAAGTATGTGGTAAAAAATAATTTGGGGCATTTTTTACATACAGATTGTATTTTTGCTGGGCAGTGTGTATATTTCATATGTGCCACTAAGTTCAAAACCCCCAAATTATGCTCAGCTAAGTCTTCTGAGTAAAAAGACACCCCCAATGAATGTCTTTGGCACTATTTCGTGAAGCTACAGTGCCATATAGGAGACCAAGCCATATCAGTTTTTACCGAACTTTGAATTTTGACGCTGGGCCTATGTGCAATTTCCAAGCATCTTTGCAGGTTTTAAATTCAAACTACCCCACAAAGGCATACCATTTTTTAAAGTAGACACCCCAGGGTGTTTCAAAAGGTATATTTTTAACCTTAGCGTGGGATCATTTTTCCGCTAGCTGGTACCAGGTGTAGTGGTAATAAGCGTTATTTCTGCCTTTTTGACACAGGCTGTCAGAGCGAGCACCGGTGCTGGGGCAGCCCGATCGGGTGCTCCTGGTCTGCCTCTAATACAGAGGCAGACTGGAGCATCATTAACCCCGTGATCGCCGCGATCTGGGGTTAGTTTTACCGCGTGACGGACAAGGTCCGTCACTTGTCGTTAAGGGTTTCCCCTCTGTGACGGACCTTGTCCGTCACTCATCATTAAGGGGTTAAAGGTTTACTCTAAGTACCATAACCACTAGAGCCTGATGTAGTGATATGGAGCCGGCGAGCCTCATTCACCATTCTAGTGTTCTGTATCACACTGTTTTGAGTTTTTTAGTCCCTTGTTCCACATACTGCTATTTTTACACTTTATTGCTTGAACGTGTCAGTTGAATCATGACCCTCAATTTATGCCACACCACTCAAAAAGGTTTAACACAGAACCAGAGAACTATGCTAGGGTTATGCTAGCACCAAAACCACTACATTGGGTTGTAATGGGTATAGTGCATAGAGTAATTAATCATCATTAGAGGCTAACCAAGTCATATGGTTTGCTGCAAGCCCAAACTGCATTGCTGCACGTTTTTTCTCCAATGTCATAAAGATATTTGTCTAGTCTATTCATAATTTTTTTTAATATATAGGGATATTTTATACTGAATGTTTTTAAAGTAACAGACTGATGATTAGCAAGATTTCATTCTTATTACAATTATAGGTTTCCTAACACTTGACTATCACATTTGTAATTATAATCATTAAAGCACTTGCAGACATAATTTAATGCCAACTCTGTATTATTCATCATTGACATCACCTTCATTCACTGTATTCAAAGAAGATAAACAAGTGGAATAGCTCGATTAGTCCACCAACTATATATCCTGTTCAAACGTAAAAGAGAACTGCAAGGACCAAAACCACTACAGATCCCTGTGCCCCCTATCCCATTGGTAAGCAATCGAACCATTCTAGAATGGTTTGACTTCTTATGTGAAGTCTGCTGCTCACATTTTTTACAGTCATTATTTTGTGTAAATCAGATACAGATGAATTAGGAAATCAAAGACAAGGCGAATCAGCAAGGTCAACACCCCCTTGGTCAGGGATATCTTCTCAACCTGGAGTAAGCCTAAAATTAGGCAACATTTCTTAAAAATAAAAAAAATATACATATATTTTTTTATTTTTAACACGGTTCTCCAGAATTTGTTCTTAGTAATTTCATGTAATATGTGTTCTTATATTATTGGGTGTTAATATGTATAGGTGATTGCGTTTAACTGTATCTACTAATATGCCTTGTCTCGCCATTTCACCTGCATTGTATTGTATCACCTGCAAAAACAAAATCAGCAAGGTACCACATGAAGTGCCTTCTATTACCATTTCAGAAAAAAAATTACCCCGTACGATATCCTAGTCAATTATAGTATCATCCCAGCTGCTCTCCCCATTCAACCTGTAGCAGTCTCTGTGCTTAAGTGGTAGAAATTAATGAATTAATCACTATGTAGATGTTGAAAAATGCGGAGAAAAGAGAAAGACAAGCAAGAAAGGAAGGGTAAGTGATAAAAAGGTGAGGAAAAGACACCCAGACAAACACCCCAAACCATAAACGTGCACTAGAAGACATCCCACTTGTGCCAAGCTGTTTAAATTATAACATTTTAAAGAAATGATTTGTATGAATTATTCACAAACAAAGTAAAACAAATGGAATTTAGTCACTCTGTATGGCTATTCTACACCATTGCTTCAGAGTAATAAAAGATTGATGGGTCCTTATCAATTTTAACTGGGAGAAATAATTACACTAATGGCCATATTGTTTAAAATATTCTCATCACAGGGGCTGGACCAAACCATCATGGTGACAAGACGTGATCCTGGAGAGCTCCCAGTAAAGTGGTAAAAAAAAGCATTACTTACCTGACCTCTGGATTTCCGATCTGGGGCTGGTGGCACAAGCTTGGACATCCTGTGGTCAATAACAGCCGTCTAGCCGTAGTTCTTCTGCCACCACTAGTGAGGCCTAACGTTCACAGTAGGAGGGAGAGGCGGCCGAACTCCCAGCCTGGTGAGTGCAGGCTCTCTTTGAAATAAAGCTGACGCCCCGCAATCCCCCCTCCCCTCTGGACCAGTGAGGGATATCCCGGTCCCTGCTGGAAAAGCCTGTACTTCTACCACACCAGAGAATAAAGAATAATCCTGCTTATTTTGTGACAGCGTGTGACAACTAAAAAGGCTGCCACATCAGAGCTCTTAATCTATCCAGCAGATCTGGAGGGCCTGCAGTGGAGAGAGCTCTTTTGTGCCAGGTTTGATGCTCTCTGCAATGCCTGCTGGCAATGCATAAGCCGCCAAACTCACCTCCCCACGGTCCCCGCAGAACCGGCGACCCAGAGAAGTGCTTTGACTCACTCTGCTTCTTCCGGGCTGGGAGCCCAACCAGAGACGTATCTGACTCACCGTCCACGCACCTGGAGAGTAGTCAGAGCCCTGAAGCTCCCGCGGACCAACGCTCCTGCTCCCTGGAGGAGGAGGACCCCTGGACATAGGGAACAGGCTCCCCTTAAGGCCCGGGCTCGAGGCTGTGCAAAGCTGTGGCTTTCTAGTTCCAGGAATCACCAGCAACAGACACAGATGCTTCAGTGGTGCCCAGGGGGGATGAGAAACAAAAGCATACCTGGCTTGGAGATAAACTTTCCTACGCGGCCTCCTTGTGGAATTGGCTGACTACAAATTGGCAACTTTCATGTGCACCCACAGCAGTCCCCTGTTTATCCAGTGCTGAGATAGACCACTTTTCTTGTTAAAAATCCAGCAGTACAATTTTGTCTCTATTTTAATTTAACTTGTTTATCCATTCTGAACTCAATTAACCAGTGACATCACACCTGTAATCTGACTAGGTAATAGCGTGTTTTATTCATGTAATTTATTTTCTCATATGCAATAACTAAACATGTGTCATACCGTATTGTTTCAGCAAATACCATCTTGTTTAGAATGCTTTCTATAAAACTATTAGTTCTATCTTGTTTAATATTAAAAAAAAGGCTGATATGCTCAAGGTTATAATGTACGTTACAACTATATAGCTGAGATGTAATCACCTGCTATAACCCATTCTCTTTATTCTGTAAAGTTATACTTTGCCTTAATGAAAGAAAGATTGACAAAAAAAAATTAAAAAATATTCACCTAATAGTGTGTGCAAGGAGAAACTCAAGAAGAGTGCTCAGGTTTTCAAATGCACAGAGAAAAAGATATATCTTACATCTACAACAGAGGTATTGCCAAAATGCACAATTTTTTATAGATTCTTCCAGTTTCATTTTGGAGTTCACGGATTCTTCTTTTATAAAAGAGGTATCACTATGTAACATTTGCACACAAAGATATAAAAAATTTATTATCACAGAAACTAAAACGTAATACTTTTTTTTTTTTGAAGTTCATCTAAACTTTAGTTTAAAGTTAAATTATTAGCATTTTTTAATATAGTGTCAACATATTCTGCAATGGTTTACAATTATAGGATAAGGGGATATTAAATGGTAAACATAGCAAATATTTTTCTCTGTTAATAATGTACATAAAATGTTTGGGGATTTGGAGTGCCCTTTAATACGAATTAGAATAGAAAACATAGTTATTTAATGTTGTAAATGAGAAAGAAACGTTTTTCATGACCAAGCCATGAACAAGCAGTCTGTTTAATCTAAAAATGACAATCACATTAAAACCATTACATTTTGATGTCAAAATTATCTTTTATCTCCCTTATGGGGTCTGTGAGTATGTAAGGCATGTGTAGGGGTTTTACCCCCTAATGGTGGCCCTGTTTACAGAATACTAAAATCAAACTACTACTTTACCAAGTAATTTTCATCTATAAAAATCAGTCTAACATTTCCTCGAAGCATGAAATATACAACAATCATGTATAGATTGTTGTTCAAGGATACCACCGAATAAAAGAAAATGACACAATTTTGATTTTGTATTTACTAATTCATCATTTAAAGAAATACCATTTTGTCACATACAGTAAATGCATCAAAATAATCAAATAAAAGCTCAACTATCTTGCTTAATGTTATTTGTTATGAACTTGATGGCGTTGCTCTGAATGCAGTTTCCTAAAAATGCTATAAGAATGTACAAATGTATGTATGTGGGTATGATGCTGATAGTAAGTGCAGGGAGCACTAAAACAAAGCTCCCTGCAGGAATTCCCTTAGTTTGCCTGTCTGATTGATTGGCAGGCAGCATGGTGTGTATTCACGCCAGACTGGCCTGTCAATTGTGCAGACAGACCTGCCTCCTTTCCAGACAAACCTGCACTAAGGGCTAGTGGCCCACCTCCTTTCTATTAGGAGATATGGCTTTAGCCCCAAGAGGTAAGCTGGTGCCAGGGCACCATAACAATGTCATTCCAGTAAAGTGGTTATGGTGTCTGGAGGTTCCCTTTAAATGTGCCTGCCTGGTTCATGAACTCTACATGTGTTTGTCTTTCCTCGGAAAATGATACATCACATTTATTATTTTTTCCATCTGTATTTTCATTTAACCTATAAACCAGTCTCCTCCTTCCTATCCGGTCCAAAATGAAGCTTTCTGCAGTCTTGCGTTATAGCATATTATACTTTATAGATATGAAGCTAGCTTGGCAGAAAGATGTGAAAATGCATCAAGGTGTCTATTTTCCTCCTTATAACTGTATATTCTGTTTACCATTGCTAAATGCTATGAAAGCCATATTTTATATAAATGAAGGATAATTTATTATACGTTCCAAAATCCATATAATATAAAAATCTGTGTAATGATATGGGGTATCGTGTAATTAGAACTGTCTTGCTCAAAGAGCTGGTATGCTAATATAAACATTGAGAGAGCTGAATACTGGTGGGTGGTCACGTTGCATGGAGATGTGTGTGACAAACCACATGTGCGGCAATCCCTGTCACCAAACGCAGGGCTTGCCTTTTCTCTTCACCTTTTTGAGGATGTTTACTCAAGGCTTATTCAGTTAAATGACACAAAGTAAAACATTCTTACATTGTAATGCTTAGCACCATATGGTAGGAGGTACACACTCCTCAGACCAGACGTTTATTTCTTCTGACTTAAGCTGTTTCTAATATCTTTAATAAATAAATAAAGACTATTTTACTTGAATGCTGATCGCTATGGGTTTGCAGAAATAATAAATAATACAATTATGATGTAGTATTTGATGACAGAGTCAAATGTATGGCATAAATAATGCATTATTTTATAGGGATCCAAGGCGTGATTGGGCTGTCTAAACCATGGTTTTGGTGTAGTTAGCAAGTGTGTTTTAATTCTGCAACAATTATTCTTCAACAACATACTACCCAAGTGTCCTGATTTAAGAGGGCCAGCATTATAATTTAGAAAATTATGATAATTTCAGTGACAGTATTATGCGGTTTATAAAAAATTATAAGCTACATAAATATTTAGTTATTAAGTAAGTTCTAAGACAGTAAAATTTGTCATTTTGAATATATTATGCAGAAATTGTGGTTATTCTATGAAACCAGACCAGTCTTAGTAATATCACGCTTGCGTAGCAAACAATTTGTTGAAATTGATTAAAAAGGCAACTAAAACATAATGTGTCTCAGCAGTCTACGCTTGAATTCTGACACTCTGTCCATATTTTGAAGTTAGAGGTATATTCACTAAACCCTGAAATATGACAAATTGTGTAAATGTTTAGTGAAGATGAGATTTGGTGACGCATTGCCCTGCCTCTTTCAAGTGCTTCACTCGTAGCTTCCTAATACTTACAGAATTTCTAATTATTTATCACAGGTAATTTAATATATTCCAGGGTTGGTCCTAGTTTTTGAAGCATTCTGTCAGAAGAACCTGGCCTAAGCCCTGGGGGCAAGTGAATAAAAGCCTGGGAAAACCAGCAAGGGTGTACTCAGCACATTTCATTAGGGCGTGTAACCATGAACAAACAATCAATCAATCGTTCTTTATTTCTACATTTATTTAAAGTTTGTTTATTATTTAAAACTAGATTTTTAAAATACGCATTTAATACACAAGACACATAATAGGAGATTAATCAAGGCAAATACAGGTGCTATAATTAAAAGTGCTAAATAAATCACAGGCTTCCCAACCATCCCAATTTTGGCAGGACAGTCCCTATTTTGGGGTCCTGGCCCATCTTCCCAATTTAGTTCCCTGATGTCCAACACCTAAGGACACCAGTGAACTGCAGCACGGCTCATTTTTAGACATTCTCGCTCTGAGAAGCAGGCACTAAGACCATGCAGAGAGCGCTTCTTGCACTTTTTGCTTAGTCTTATATGTTGGGGGCTTTTTTGAAGGACAGTACACCCATCTTGATTCCATTTTTGCTAATGTTGGGCTGTATGCAATCAACATTAAACCAGTATGTATAATCAGAAGATACCCGACATCTGTCTTGATTCTTGAAGGGCAATCTGATTTTAAAGCCCCTAATTACTGCTGTTTATTTTTCCTAGTGTCCTACTTCTTGGGGCAACAAAAAGAAAAGTCCTCATAAAAAAAGCTTGCAATCTGTCAAGATGATCCTAGGGCGTTTCTGCAATATGTCCATACACAAGAGCTTAAGCAGAACTCTGAACATGTGAAGAGTGACACTATCCCATACGCATTGATAGAGGCTGCTTTAAGGACTGAAGCCTCTGATATTGCCTCAGTGCTTTCCTGTGGGGTTTTCTCTGATGCTATATGTTCTCATGCTATATGTTCTCATGCAGAGCATGAGGATATCCAGCGTCGTTTCACATAGTCAAACTCTGTGAACCTCCAGGAAGCACCTTAAGCCAGTCAGACAGTAGGAATAAGGGAAACAAGGACAGTGCTCCCAGACCACTGCAATGAGCTGAAGTGGTCTGGGTGCCTATGGTGTCCCTTTTTGAAGGGATACTATAGGCACCAAAAAAACTTTAGCTTAAATGAAGCAGTTTTTCAATTTGCAATATCAACTAAGTTCTAAAATATAATGGTTGGAAGATTTTATTGCAACCACTGTACACTCATCCAGCATTATTACAACAACTTCAGCTTAATGAAGCAGTTTTGGTGTATACCGTATTTTTCTCTCCATAAGACGCACCTAGTTTTGTTGAGGTGGAAACGCAGAAAAAAAAAAATTCTGCACAAACTGTCCCATAGGGTTTCTTAACACCCGCCCCCCCCTCCCCTGTTCCATAGTGTTCCTTACCACCCACTCCCCTACGCTGTCCCATAGTGATCTTTGCATCCCATAGAGTCCCCCCCCTCCCCTTGTCCCATAGTGTCCCTAAATTACTTACCAGTATTGTAGCGTGGGCCGGCAGAACAGCACGCATCGCGGTACAGGAACTTACATTTCAGTTTTCGACCGGACTGAAAGGAAGTGTGCACAAGGAGTGCGCACTTCCTTTCATTCCGGCCAGAAACCGGAAACTGAAATCTAAGTTCCTCTACCGCGGTGCGTGCTGTTCTGCCGGCCCACGCTACAATACAGGTAAGTTAAGCTTCACATTCACTCTATAAGATGCACAGACATTTCCCCTCACTTTTGAGGGGGGAAAAAAAAGTGCGTCTTATAGAGCGAAAAATACGGTAGATCATGCCCCTGCAGTCTCACTGCTCAATTCTGTGCCATTTGGAGTAAAATCACTTCTGTTTATGCAGCCCTGGCCACACCTCCAAATGCCCAAGTCATTTTTAATAAAAAGCAGCCCAAGAGGAATTTGCCACTTAGGCATTTTATGTCAGCCATCCTTGTCTCAATGCAAACATTTAAAAGGTTGGGAAATGTTAGTATTTGCCCTACTCGAATACCACGTCCTGAATGACCGATTAACTACCAATAGACATGATAATGGAAGGCAGGTGTAAACTTGCTTGTTCAAAGTATAAATCATTTTCTGCCTGTTGTAATTGCATGGCATCAAATGGCACTCTTAATCATAGTTTGGTAAAATAACGCTCTCACTAGAAGGAAGAGAATTTGCACATTTTGAAGGAAGGTTCTGGATAGAAATCAGTAGCATTTAATGGATAGCAGCGTATCATAACATCAGAAAACATCTTAACTTGAAATTATGGTGCCTTAAGGGGTTAAATCGTTATCAAACCTTTTAATCTGAAAGTTGCCTCCAGTGTTGTTCCCCCCCCAGTCAGCAACCAGCTTCTGAAATTGAAAGTCCAGAGTGCTGCAGGACAAGGGCGATGCATATTTAGTGACTCCCATTCACAAAAACAGAAAAGGTACGTTTCTTTCCTAGCCAGTTTTGTGAAAGGGGAGTCACTGATTGGCCAGTCAGCGTCGCCCTTGCTCGGCAGCACTATGTGAAAGCAAAACTTTAGAAGCCGGTTGTGCCCTGGAGGATGCTGAGATCGGAGCTGGAGGTTCACTTTGGGGTTAAACCATTCAAGAATGGTTTAACCCCTTGATGCAAGAGTGAGCCAGGGTGTCCTCCTAGCAGCAGAACTTAATTTAGATGAAGTTGCTTTGGTGCCTCAAGTGCCCCCTTAAATGGTTACTTCAAGCACAATGATTTGAGTCTGTTTGCACTTTGAAAGCCGCACATACAGAGATTAACCCCTCTGCTGATGGAGGTGTAGCACTACCTCCAAGAGCACTATTGGGGTGTAATTAGCCATCCGGGGTTTTCTAATATTCCTATGCACAGAATTGCATTAATTGACTGACAGCAGCCAGATATTGCGCCTGACTGTAGACGAGCCCGGTTGGACAAAAAAATAATAATGTGATGCATAAAAAACAAATCCATCTTCACCCATGAAGAACTCCACACCGAATGAGCTTACTGGGCAGGAAAAGCCCTTATGAGGGTTTTCCCACATTATGCAACCTCTGTCTGGTTGACTTGTAAGTCAGCTCTCCGACACGTAGCGTATTACTGTACACGCTTTAACTACTAATATATCTTTCCATGTAGCTCTATTCCCAAGGCAAAGTAAGGCATTATGAGAATATCAGCTCCCACTGCAATGTAATTTAATTGACAGCAAATTTAAACCTCATCTGACATTCCAATCTCACTTAATTTATTTCATGTGCAGGCTTGGTTTGAATTTAGAAAAAAAACAAAAACAAATTGAAGTTCAAGGGCTATTAGTTTAGGTTTAGGGCATGTCAAGTGTTAGGCAAAAAAAATAAAAGATGGCAATGCCAACATATACATTTGTCTAGCAAACAGAAACCAAGACACTAAAATATATTTATATAATGCTAAAATGCCAGCGTATTGCAATGATACCTTTATACACATATAGATATATAAATATGTATTTATAGATATATATTTATTAATTTGACAGATTCCCTTTAACCCCTTAAGGACACATGACATGTGTGACATGTCACGATTCCCTTTTATTCCAGAAGTTTGGTCCTTAAGGGGTTAAACATATAATTATGAAATGACGCCATATAGTAAAGACCACGTCTGTACTGGACAATATATTCAGTTATGTGTACAATAATATACGCATTTGCACAAGTAGATTGTATTTAACACAGCTGTTAAAATGTCCACTATCGAGCTTGATTGCTTTGGTAAATAGTTGCAAAGAAGAAAAGCTAATTACTTTGACTGATGTTTACTGTATGCTATGTAACTAAATAAAATCAATTCCTTTACAGGGAATAATTAACAGCCCTAGTGTCTATCCTTGCAACACATTTTGGAAAATATGTGTGTTTTCTTTTTACTAGATATTAGAATATACAGACCAAACAATCAAGTGAACCCTCCCCTTCTAACATCTCTTTGTGCTAGGATAATGGTAGCTAGGGGTTGCCACAGAGATTAGGGTTTGAAAAGTGAGCATGCTGGCTAATAGCTGTGGCCATAGGCTCGACCCACAGACATAATACAATTGTTCAGGGTTCCAAGTGATTTGCTGAGCATTAGAGCTCTCTGCTGAATGTATTGCATTGTTCATCTGTGACAAAGTCCTTAGGTATTGGCAAATATGCCTGCACAGAGCGAGAGAAAGGTATTTATTCTCTAAACAGCTAATAGCGGTTAATTGAAATCTGAATTGCAAGATTTACACAAAAGGGTTTACTGACTAAACACTGAATCGCAAAGAATTAAAACAGAACATTTTAGGCTGAAACAGACAATCCACAATTTATTGCAGTCCATCTCCCTAGTAAAGAGTAGACTTTTAGTCTGTAAGATTTGTTTACTAAACTTTAAATACCGGTGAATTGGAAACTGAAAATGCAAAATGAAAGCTAGAATAACCAATTTGTGGTTAAAGCTGTGTTGGAGAGTTTTGCCTGAATTTCAGTTCTCTGCAATTCAGAGCTTAGTGAATAAACCCCCCAATGTGGCCATTCGGTGAGAAATCTGTGCATTTTAGTGATTTTAAACTGCCATATTTTCTTGCTGGGGACTGTGTTAGTGGGAGGTTTTAGGAGAGAAGGGGGAGGGGTGACAAACAGTTGGACAATCCTAAACAGGTTGGAGACTTTTTTTTTTTTTTTCTCTTTACCACACTGATGGCTGTAGTTTGTCTTTTATTCTGGTTCTCAGGGGAATTTGTTTGAGCCTAGGGATTTGCTTACGTGAAGCAGAAAGTAGGGAGAAGTGTTTATCTTTTATCCTGGATTTTCCGGTTGCTTGTTAAAAGTCCTCTATATTATTTTTTATTTTTATTTTATTTTTTGCAATGGCACATTTACTTTGATCTCCTAAACCTTTTGAGAAAATATATATTAAGAAAAGGAATATGTTTATGAATTTCCGAAAGCATATCAGCTCTTGAATTAGACATGCGGTTATTTAATGCAAAAGCAGCTATGCCTACTGGTAAGTACAATTTCTTTGTTTCATTTTTAGAATAAAATGTAGTTTACTGTCCTGTTGTCTGGATGCTTTTAGCACTGGTAATAACCTTTCCCTTGTTTAAGAAGGTATAGTTATTGTATTGTAGCTCACTTTGTATTGATCCAGTGTTTAGTCCATACATTGTGTATACAGTGTTTGTGGTACATGCCTGCTGCATATTCTGTGACCAGTTCTGTAAAATCCATAGCTATCTTTAGCAAGAAAGCTTGATATCCTAATTAATATGTAGTATTTCAAAATGACTTCATTTAAGGTGCTAATTACTGAGAAGCACCCTCCTGATCTGCCAGTCAGGATAATTAATTAGAGAAATCAAACCCTGCAGTGGCAATCTAATTAGAAACCCTTGCAGAGGATTCCATAGAATGCGTATATTCCTTAATTCAAACTGCAGATTCCTAATGCTTGTGTTTAACTACTGTACTTAAAGGTGCCAATATTGTTTGATGTATATAGCTAATTGATTGTCACTATTAAAGTCCAGTACCTCCCCATTCTTGGATCCCATGCTGATTTTCTCACTTGCTTTAAGTGTGTGTGTGTATGTATAAACATGATCTGATTCATTGTATGTGTTCCTGAGCATACTAGTACTAATGCTGAAATACTGATTTATGATGACTGTGTGTCCTTCTTGTTTAATAGTTAAATTGGTTACTTACAGTTTCTACATATTGAAATTAGACACATTGCTGACTCTTGTGTAGCTATGTTATTCAGCACTAATATTGGCTTCCAGTGTAACTGGTATGCACAAAGCTGCTTAGCTGGATGAATTATTTATTCCACACCTGTTTATATATACGTTTTAATATTTTATGTAGGTTAGTTAAAAATTCCATTTGGTTAATTCCCATATTTATTTCCTCCTAAGCCCCAAAAGTTGTGATGGCTTCTTCATATATCTACTTTTACCATTTAATATAAAACATGTTGGCATAGGTTAACATCAGCATTTTCTGCAATACTGTACGCTGGGCTCACAACATATGTATGTACATTCAGCAAAATGTGGTTGATTTACAGTTTACCCATTCGAACCTTTTAAGAATGTAATACTTGAGTATGACTTGTCTTATTCAGTTGTGACATCTTTTAGAAGTGAACGCTGCCATTTTGATAACCATTCAATGTATGATATGTTGGTATATTTGAGACATGGCCTCCAAAACTGGATACACAGTATATTTTATTCAGGGTTCACAGCACAGTTTTAGTTATCTGATAATCCAATGTGCACAATGTTACAGCCCTTTTCAATGTCAGAGAGCTGTGTCATGCTTGGAGTTATCATTCAAAGGGTTACGAATATTGAATTAAAACATTGTGTGGAAGGAACTGTCCTACAGATCTCTGTTAAAGCAGCTTCGACTAATTAGTGTCTGTGTGTGTGTGTGTCCCACTATAGGATCTCCCTGCTTTGTACAGGTGGAACTACCTATCAATAAGCTAGTGCAAAAGCAGGGGATATTGTTTAGGTTCTTTACAAAATGAGTGCTATTCGGTACCCCTGGGTTAAAATGGTGGACTTTCCCCATGAGCAGCTGTATGCTTCAAAATACTATTCATTTGAGAACAGTGCAGGTCACAAGCTTTCAAATGCTCCCTCTTTCTCTCCTACCAATCACTGCAGTGCTGACTGAAGTCTATCCATCTTCTTGGAAACATGCCATTAACTGTCAGTGGATGTAAGCGATTATTGATAAAGGAAATCACTCAGCCATATAATGTCTTGTTTAAAACATCAATATAGAACAATAAATTGCTATTTAGAGCATTGGGACCACTGCGCAGCTGGTACTTCATTCCACACTTTTATTGTTGGCTCTCCAGCTGGCCTATAGTATTAATCCTTGGGGTGTCTGTCTCTGGGTTGACAACATGATGTGTTTTGGAAACGGTGTGAAGAGATGAGTATAAAACCCCACAAATAAATTAATTTGGTTCCGTTCATGTCATTCAGATTGAAAGCCATAGTTAGACTTTTTTTGGGGGGGGGGGAGGAACGGAGGGTGATATTCACAGCTAGCAAGAGATCTCAAATATACTTAATACGATGTTTCTCACAAAATACAGTACATTTTTTTTGTAACATCAAACTTTTTTTATGATGGGGGTAGGTGGATTCTCAGTTAGATTTATGTGGTCTGAGTCTCCGCAAACTTGGTGGTAGACTCTCTACAGTCATTTCCAAAGGTCTAGGAATGTTATCACGTTGGGGTCCAGTTAAGTATTTGATGGATGATCTAATGCTGTAGCTTCATTCACCTTTCCATGTAATCTAATATGGTACTTGTTGGAGTGTGGTAAGCAGGGTGTTTTCAGTGTTTTGGAGATAATTTTTCATGAAATACACTTATACTAGTTCTGGCATCAAGACGGGTTTCCGTCAACTCTGGAACTGGCTCTACAGCTGCATTATCTTATTTTGAAAGATATCTAATATTACAGGTGAGCTGATACTAATAAACCTGTAGTTGTATCCATTATAATGCTGAAGGTTTGTACATGAAAAGTTCTGAATAAACTCAGAAATAAAGCAACATTGGCTATATTGATATTCCTGTTAACCGTAGTAGTATCTTCAGGTCCCTTGAAGTCTTCATGCTAGGCCTGCAATAAACATGTTAGTTTCCCACTGTGCAGTGTTTGTTTTGAGCTCTGTGATGTTCCCCTAATGTGTTCTTTATTACTGAGCACAATCTTGAATTCACTGATCCCAGTTTAAAACATTTTTATTGATCTATTTGCAAACAACTTAATAGGTTTTTGGCATGTAGTTGAAAACAAATTTCTCTGTTGCAACATCTGTTATTTAAACCTCAAATTTTATGGTCACCGTATTAGCCTTTTTTGCCTAGAAAGAGAAATTCTTCAGAACAGGTGTCTTTAAGACAGTAGTTATTTGAAAGTCTTCAGTCCTGCATGAAGTTAGTCAAATAACGTGGGTTGAACTCAAACCTAGTTGTTACTGAAATGTAATTTTCTTGGGAACAGCTGTGCTTCTCCACAATGAAGACTTTTAGGCTGTGTTAATAAAATCGAGAGTGAAAGATTGATTAAAATTTTTTTTTTACCAGTGAAATGAATGACTTTTACTGGAACAGTTGAGTAAGCAATAAATTAAATACAGCATTAGGGACACATTGGGCAGATTTGCTTGAGTTTTTAAAGAAAACCCCCCCATCCCCCCCAATTATTATTTTTAATTAAATCTTATTGATGGCATTCATCCGTCCGTTCGAATATGCATTGTCACTTTGTAAGGTCTTCTACTGTGTGTTAAAAGACGCATGTATCATTTGACAGAGAGGGGCAAATCTTTGTACAAGTCTAAGATATTTACTTTGTACCTGGTAGAAAAAGTCTCAGTCCTAATGTACTTGAAATTAAAGCTAATAATTTAATAACTATTTTATATTTTTAACATTTCACACACAGTGATTTAACACTGAAAGAGCTGGATTCACCCAGGCTTGTGTTTTATAACTTTGGCGGAAAGGGCTCTGTCAATTACTTGTTGATCAAAATACAAAAAACTCCACTGCCAAAATAAAAAAATCACTGTTTAGTAGAAACATTTAATCATGCATTTATATTGCGGATATAAAAAACAAACACACAGAAAAACAGCTCGCATAAGATGCAGTTCTCTTGTCTGCTGTCTTTGAAAGCCCTCTTCGCCAGACCAGCCTTTCTGTGCCTGTCACGGTCTGCCCAATGCAGCTCAATGAGACAGTTGCTCTGGGCAGTTGCTTGTCTCTTGAGTTTAGCTCGATTGAACTAACTAAACCAGGAAGTAACATGACAGGCTGCCTGATTCACAGCCAGGGACTGTAACAAGGTTAATTTCTATTGAAATCTGTACTTTTTGTGTACACTTTCTTCACACATAAAGCATTTCAGAAAGCTGAGGTGTCTTAGAGGTCTGAGGTGTCCCTTTAAAAATATACCAGTGTTTTGTGCTTTACTCAGTGGGAACTTGCTACATCCTAGTTGGTGGATAATTATGTGTTACAAACCAGTCATCATCCATACTGACAAGTGACCTCATGGAATTATCCCAACAGGTTTTCTTGTGGTAGACATAGAGAATATTTCATTTTTTCATTTTGTATCTTCAAAATAATTTTCCAAGTATTATCTCTGGGATTCAACTTTATAAACTTTATGCACTTGCGGTAATAACCTTGCAGCATTAAACCTGCCCCCCACACTGTGCTGTAAGTTTGGTACACCTCTAAAGTGGTATCATTACAGATTATGCAGTTGAATATTCTCTTTCTTTCCGTATAACAGGGAACGTGACTAACAATAAAAGGATGTCAAAATCAGACTTTTCAGGACCCCACTTGGGTTCTAACCCAGGTCAGTCCCCTCCCTAGCAACGCTCCTGATAGTTACTGTTGTAGATCTAGTTGACATTAACTGCTTTAAGAAATCAGTTTCCACTTCAATTCAGAGTGCTCTTAAAGAGACCTGTTCATCTGTGACCTTTGTGTTTCGGCTGGCCACTCACTTCTGCACAAGTAGATGACACATCTTTGTGAGAAACAAAGGAAATTAAATCTATTGAACATTTCATTGTGAGTTGAAAAACGTGGATCTTTAGCTGTTCATGAATTACAATTCTTGGGAAACGCTTGCAGCCTGCTGTAAAATCAGCAGTAGATATATAGAATAAAGATACTAGTACCTTTCTCTGCTTACCAGATACTCTGCTATTTTATCAGAAATCGATGACTTATTCTGAACAGGAGAAATCAAGAAGCGTTCCGGGCACAGAAGAGCCATGTTTATGCAGACGTCGTGAAGGTTCGATTTAGCCAAAACGTTGTCTCATCCTTTTGATCCGCTTTTGTTTGCCCAGTCTGCTTCTTGGTTTCTACTGGATTGCTGGAGTGTCACCACTCTGGTCTGTGTGAGTACATCTGAAACTGTGTATGGCGTTGAATATGTGCTGTCCTTTTGTCTTTGTTTTACGCTAAACAAGAGGCATAACATCCCTGCTCACCATGTACTCATGAGTATCCCCTTTATCCCACATCTCGCTTATGCCTGGATAGCTTTTGGAATGTTTTTTATGAAAACTGTCATCCCTTTCAACTTTGTACTATAATATGAAACATGATTTCATTTCAGGAACACTGCACAGCATGCGTCCACCGATTGACAACATATTTTAGTCTTCAAAAAAAGCTGCCTGTAGCTTGCAAATAGAAAGATTATGGCTAATATATAAGACCGATCTTTAAAAAAAAAAAAAATTTTAATACCTTCTATATGAAAATGAAGTTTGACCAAAAAAGTATACATTTTTAGAAATGCTAGAGCCTACTTTCACGCTAAAACATCAGATGTGGTTCAAGCCGATAATGTCATTTAAAAGAACCCCATTTAAAAACAAATACAAAGTTTTCTTTTGAAACTGTTGTCAAGTGGCAGACTGTGCCCATAGATGTTTGACGATTTAACAAGTACACTGAGCTGTAATGACTGAGCATAAAGAACTTTTTGCTATTTCTTTTCTATGTCCAACTCTCCTACTTTTAACAGTTGGTGATACCCAGGGCTCAAATTAAAATCCTGGTTTTGTTCTCCGCTACAAATGTCTCCTTTATTTTTAGTTAGATTTGTTTGTTAAATTTGACAAATTGAAATATAAACCCCAAAATAAAATATTGGATTATCCTTCGTTGGTCTTCATTCAGTAATACAGCTGGATGCGGGTTTTACCAATATATGATAGTTAATGACTATTAGTCCTCATTCACAATGATGGCATGCAGCATTGATAGGGTCTATCCAGAAATGAAATAAGTGTTAGAAAAGTGGTTTTGCTTGCCTTTTTATCTTCAGCAAATACATTGATAAATAATTATTAAAAATTAGAATTTCTAAACACCCCTGTTGTAGTACTATTATATCAATATAAAAGACCGCAGTTCTTAAAGTTTTCATAGTATTTATCCTTGTAGCATTGGCATTTAGTTTGTGCTATTACTTGATGGAAGACCCCTATTGCAGTATACTTAAGCAATGAACTGTATTATCTTGGCATATGTTTCTTGTGGTTGAATCCCTGCAGAGTGTGCAAAGAATTGCTTGCTGCATTGCAGGGACTGCAGGGTATAGAATGCAGCTAAGACACTGCAGTATAATATAATGAGACAATACACAGAGATATATTCACATGCATTCACAATTTATTATCATGAACCAATACAGCACAACCCGCTTTTGACATAAAAAGTCAATCTCTCACAGATACACATATTTATCTATATTAAATGGTGACATTCAGTAACAAGTGCTGGGTGAACACAGTAGGGGACATTGTAGCAGAGCGCTAGTCTTAGCAAGGACTCTCCTCCGTTGGTTACTCCAACATACACTCAGGAGCAAGTAGAATTCAAAAGGGAACAGCCAAACATAGTAAATTAATCGCGGAATCTCCCACACCAACTGGACGACACTCTGCTCTGGAGGTATAACTAGTTTTAATGGAGCCACACATGCCCTTTTATGTGAGTCCCCATGCAAGAGGTTTCCAATTACATCTTCCAGGTGCATTCCCCACAGGACCTGAGAGTAGACTGAGACAAAGTACACACCATAATTACATTAACTCTCAGGTCCAGGACATGTACAATATTAATCACCCCAAAACATACATTTCCCCAATAGGTACCCCCTTTAAGTCCTATATCCCTGGATAGCCTGGATCTGAGCGCCCAACATATCCGAAAAGGGATTAAGATCCCACGAATGAAGCCGAAACGCCATTGGGGTATAGTTTAGACCGACCGCACACAAGGCGCCTTCCCAAAAAAGTTCCATGAAATCAGGCATTGCACTCGAAGACCAAACACCGCTGTCCCTGTTCGTATCTAAAGATGGCCGCCGCCACATGTTCGCATATATACGAACAGCGGCCACCCAGCCGACCGCTTGGAACGTTCATGTAATTGTGGTTTGTGGAGGTGTGAATTAACAAGTGGCACACTCCACATATAGGTGGCCTGCAGTTCGGTACTTCGGTTGAACAAGACAGTGGTGATAAGCCAGGAGAATGGTATTTACCGAATGGCCAGGTGAACAGGGGGAAAAAAAACATGATAATCCAATAACAGGGGACCTGTCCCACACAGGGACTGCAAGCACAAAACATAGGGGACAAGCGGGGGAAAAAGAAATGGACAGCCCATAGCAGGAATAAGGGTACTATCCCAAGGCCCATTCCGCTACAGACATTTTTCATAAGTTTTTTTTCAGAGGAAGCATGTAGGCCTAAGGCCGGCTCTGTCTGATGGTAAACATATACAGAAGGGGCATATTCACTGGCCCTGAGTCCCTAAAACCTCAAATATGTATGACTTCCTTTCTAGACCAAATCTCAGTAGACAAATGCTTGGATCATAATCTCAGGAAGGAAGTAAAAATATAACCTCTACAGTGTAAAAAACTTTTTACGGTTTATTAAATAAGAAGACACTGGTGCACACTTTAAACATTTAAATTTAAACAGGGCAAATTATTATTTTATTTGTACAGCACCAGCAAATTCCATAGCGCTGTACAATGGGCAAATACAATGTTGTACATATAACTACGTTTACAGTTCACTCATGACCCTTTTCATGTTTCAATGTATTTGAATCTCTATAGTTTTTTTTTTTTTTTTAATTTTTCAAATTTTTTTATGTTTATTTTCTTTATAAGAATTTTATGTTATTTTCATGTTCTGATTTAAAAATATATATTTATAGTGAATTTATGGAGAGTTTAAAACTTCGAGTATAGCACCACTTTTTTCTGATCTGTTTGACCTTGGTAACTGTCTAACTCAGGGGTAGTCAACCTTTTTATACCAACCACCCACAAATGCATCTTTCTTGATGGTAACATTTCCTTAACGCCCACCAGTGCTGCAGTAACTCTAAATATTTTTAGCACGAGTATGAAATATATTTTTTTTTAGAAAGGAGGGTTTTTAAAAATAAAAAAAGTACTCTTAATTTATCTTTTTATTTCTACTTTATGCATGTTTATAATGTTTTTAACATTATGAAGTTAAATGTGAAAACAATAAAGTAAACTGAAATTACTTTTAACTGGTGATTACTGAGATACTTGAGGCTAATGCTGCGAGACTATTTGATATCCAGTTCGATTTACGTAAGGAACAAATGAAGATCTCCTCTTTCGGTGATATTCAGATGGTTTCTCTGTTTGCTCATAATATGATTAACAGCACTAAAGCCTGATTCTACAAGATATGTGGTAGGGAAAGGTATCAATAAATTGAATATCATTTTCCACATATTTGGATATAACGCAGGCGTTTTTGGTATCCACCACTGCCAAAATTACATTTACTCTCTTCATCATATTTAAGTTCTAATTGTTCTACTTGGCAAGTTATATCAACCTCAGTAACATTTGCTGTAAAAGGATTTATCATCCAGTCACGCACCTTTTAAGTTCAAAATATCTTGAAATTGTTTTTCCATATCCAATTTGAGTTTGTTGAGGTGGCTACTGAACCATTCAATATCCCCCGGAGTTACATCACCTTTTATAAATGACAATTCAGGAAACTGATGAAATTCTCTCTTGAAAATATTATGACGGAGAAGATCAAACTTGTCGATAAATAATGACACAATATTTTTGCAACTTATAAGAGTTATATTGGCGACTTGAAGCTGCAAATTAATTTAATTAAATCTCTTGAAAATGTCTGCCAAATAAAAGGCAGAATTCTTTACTGTTTTTAACTGTTCATAGAGACCAGCTTCATTATTATTACTTTCAAAAAACTGTACGACACTATCAAATAATGCAACAAAACGAGTCAAGCATGTACCCTTTGAGAGCCATCGAACTTCTGTGTGTAAAAGTAACCTAATAAACCGCTCGTTATTGCCCTGGCACAGCTGTCGAAACATTATATCACCTTTTGGCATTAGATTTGATCTTATTTACAGCTTTAATTATTATACTTAATGATGAATGGAGACTTGTATGTAAATGTTTTCCTACAATATGTTGTCTGTGCACAATACAATGAATACACAAAACGTTTGGCACTTCTTCAAGTAAGCAACAAACCCACGATAGCGGCCCACCATTGATGGTGCTACATCAGTAGCACATGCAACAATATTGTTCAAGGGTATATTCTTTTTTGCAAAGTATGATTTCACAGCATTAAATATTGCTAATCCTTTTGTATCTGTAATCAGATTGACAATGAATAGCATTTCTTCTTGCAATGTATTGTTTTCATCAAGGTACCGTACACATGTCATCAATAGAGCATTATTATCTGCAATGTCAGACTTGTCCAATTGTATGGAGAATGAAGAATTTTGGAGAATACCTATAAGTTTATTCTCCAAATTAGCCGCCATTTCGTCAATGTGTCTCTTTACTGTGTTATCACTAATGGGCAATGTTTTTAAAACTTTAGGTATATCCTGATGCATTACTGTTGAGATAAATTCTTTGATAGAGGGTGTTATCAAAGTTTCTCCAATGTTATGGCTTTTAGCACTTTTTGCAATTAATTGTGATGTACGATAGGCTGCAGTTAATCCATCCTCATGCTTTGCATGTAATTTTTGAAATGATGCGGCTATTGTTGAACGATTTTGAAATATTTTATAGATTTCTTGAAAATATTTAATGGGCTTATCTTTACCTTGTGAATGCTTTGTAGCAAGATGTTCTCGCAATCGACTTGGCTTCATTGTTTCATTAGATAATGTCTTGTGGCACAGTAAACACATTGGAAGCTGTTTATTTGTAACAGATTCAATGAAACCCATCTTTAGATACTCTAAATATAAGCCACGAGCATATTTCTTTTTTTCAGCCATGGGTTCTAAATTTGTTGCACAATTTAACAACTAAATTTACTCTTACCACGTTTTTATCTGCACTTCACACAGAGCTTCTCCCCCACCCCCTTCTTTTCCCTTTTATTACAAACCCCCAAAACAACGCTGTGTTAGGTGTCAGTTATTACTTGTCACCATAAAAAGAACTTCCCCCATTTTTTTTTCTACTTTTCCTGCCTTCTTCTTCTTTACCTTCCTTATATTATATCAATATATCAGGGGTCTCGTTTTCCCTTTCTCTTTATTCTCTCCGTCTCCTTCCTTCCTTTTCCTTCTTTCTTTTATTTTACAAGATATCAAAACTTAACTTGCCAAAACATGAGCCATTCTAAACACTGCTTTCTCTCCTCCTTTATTTTATCCCCTTTTTTTCCTATTTTTCTTTTTTTTTTTCTTTTTTTGAATTTTTTTTTGATCTTTTCCTTTTTTATCTTTTCTTTTACCTTCCTTATGGCAATGTCCAAAAGTAAGGCTAAACTAGTAAGCCCACTTATTATTAGCCAACAACAATTCTCTCCTTCTCCGGCCTATAACTTTTCTTTCTCCTGTTTTACAAGTGGTCTGCTCCACTTCTGCCTGTCCCTGCTATCGTGCATCAGCTCCCACTCTTCCCCTTCCTCTTCCCACGTTACACTCGCTCGTGTTAGCACGTTCTCTTGTTCGCGTGCGCATGAACGCGTTCTCTTGTTTGCACGTACGCATTCTTGAGTTCGCGTGGGTTCGTACATGTTTGTGCTTTCATGTGCGTTTGTGCACACGCGCCTGTCTGCCCACTCTCTCGATGGAAGGAGGATTCAGCTTGTTGTGCCGCAGAAGCCCCTATCGCCAACCTGAAATCCTGAAATGCCCACTAGTGGGCGATAGGGACCAGGTTGATCACCCCTGGTCTAACTATTTGAATAAAGTATGTCTACATGTAGTAGGATATGGCAAAAGGACTTGTAGCACCATAACCTCTACAGATCTGGTAAATTAGCACTTTGTTAGCCGTAGCTCTGAAGACTCAGATATCATAGTTCCTGACACTGAGAGCAAGGGGTTGATGCCTGAATTGCACATGCTTTATTAATGAAAGCTGCTAAATGTATTTAATGTGTCCGCAACTAACCATGTATTAAACTCATGGACAGACTGCGTAGGCAATGAGGAAGTGTGTTTGCAGTCTGAAGCGCCCTCTTGGTAAAATGGACACGTCACAGGATAGTTTCTAAATACCAAATACGTAAAACCTCAACAATGCTTCAGTACCTCTGTGATCTAGTTGCATTAATTAAGTTTTGTATTTTTGGATTGGTGGCCTGCAGACTCTTTGTATGCTAGGAGACTGCACAAAGATGGATAGCATGACTCCTTACTAACGTGGTCCAATAAAGTGTGTCTTACACTATTTTCTATATCCGGTGAGGTTTACACTTCTAGAATGCCAAATGATGGCTTCAACCTGCAATGGTTGCCAGCTTATTGCCAACATGGAAATCAATGACTCCACACAATAAAAGCTCTGAGTTGTAGATGTCCCTAATGTGTAAATTCTTTCACTTACTGTAAGCAAAACTACATAATGTAAACATTGTTGGCCATTTGCAGAATTAAGAAGGGTGGTGTTCAGTGAAGTATATTCTTTAAGTTTACCCACAGTGGTGCCTATTGTTCTGTCCTGAACTGAATGATGTGATGTTTCATTTAAGGATCTTAACTATTTCTAAAGTCTGAAGTTCCATGTGATGAGGAGAGGGTGGGTGGAGGGGTTTAAAGCTTTTCTTTGGAAATGAGAAAGCAGGTTATGTGAGTCGGGTTTCAGCTAAAGCCTTTTATCTTTGCATTTTTTATTTTATTGTATTTTCAGATATAAAAACTGACTCATGGTACACAATATTTTCCAGTAAGTACAGGGACTAAAACCTCCTTTTACTTATCAATGTGCCCAGTGAGGTAATCCTTTCAAACACATACAGTAGGCCAAATTGATTTAACCTTGGTGCAATATACTGGGTAGATCACAGCAGGTTTCTTTTATGGAGCTAAGCTTTAAGCTGTGGGCTGAGACTGATTCTTTCACTGTACAAGGCGCATTCTTTTGTGATGAGCTGCAGTCACAGTCCTGATGTCCTCCATCTACAGTCAGTAGTGTTTAGTCTTGTTCTGTGAATATTTTTAATATAAAACCGGCATTTGAACTTGCTTATTCATAGCAAGATATATATATATATATATTATTATTTTATTTTTTTTTAAAGGTTTTGCTTTCTTTAAAATGTCACTTAAAGGGACAATCCAATGCTTGATAGCTTTTGGTTTTGTTAAAGTGAACCTGTTATGAAACAAATTAATGACCCTGAAATCGTTCCCATATACATTGAATACATCATATTTCACAAAGATACATGGTACTATCCATTTAAAATATACAGATTTATTCACACTTCCTCTGTTCCAGCGCTGCTTAGTGGGTGTTACTCTTTGTGTAACACCCACCTCCTTGCCATCATTCCGCCTCAGCTCCTCCTAAAGTCAACTTTGATTTGCCCTGCTAGGGACACATCCCCAAACAGGGCAAATCAAATGAGTGACACTGGCTTCGTTGCCATGGCGTTTGGAATGGTTACATTACATCATTCCATTCCTATACTGATACTCCTAATCTGTTATTGAAAGGCTTTACAGAAATCATATTGAAGAAATACCCCTTTTTTTCTTTGTGATGTCTGCAGCAGATGGGACTAGCCTGCAGCGTTGGCGAATAACATATATATACACACTGTAGTGGTTATGGTGTTAAAGGGCTCTGGATGCTATCCCTCAATTTTAAGTCAAACACTTTTCAAGCAGTTTTGGAAGAGGATAAAAAAAAAATATATATATATAGTTTTGGAAGAGGATAAAAAAAATATATATATATATATATATATATATATATATATATATATTACTTTTTTTTTTTTTTTTATCCTCTTCCAAAACTGCTTGAAAAGTGTTTGACTTAAAATTGAGGGATAGCATCCAGAGCCCTTTAACACCATAACCACTACAGTAGTTATGATTGTGCTTGGAGTATCTCTTTATGTTTTGCTTTGCCATTTCTCTCCTCATAAATATCTTGCAATAGCTTTACTTTAGCAGCATGTTTAGAAAGCTTTTTAATGTATCAGAGAATCGCAAAGCAGAATTTATGGGCTTAAACTGAAGTCCTCCTAGTGGATCATCTGGATTCTGATGTATTAATCCATTTAGACGGCCCAGAAATAAATGCTAAGCAATCCCATTAGCTATGTTAGCTGTATGTAGGCCCTTAGAAGCAAGCTGTTTCAAATGATCTGCATGATGAGACTCTTGCTGTTTGTATGAAAAATTGCCTTTTTTTTTTCACTGCAATGTGAAAAAGGCCACTCATTGCATTGACTTTTTAGGTGTGGGACAGATCAGTTGTACATGAGTGCCCAGCAACAGAATACATACATGTCATTGTAGCATGAATTGAAAGGCTTCACATACATTTTTTTTTTTTTTTTTGTAAAGGGTGTGGCAGAATATTCATATGGGTGGGCCATTATGGAACAGAAGAACAATGATGGGGTTTAAGAGTCTAATTTCCTTAGGAATATAGCTGAACAATCTCTTAATTCTTTTGTGAATATACAGAAAATTGACAGCCAAGACATTTACAAAGTTGTTTTTTTTTTTTTTGTTTTGTTTTTTTTTAAAGGAGCTAAACATCGACTAATGCTGCATGAGATTGTATAAACCTTTTCCAAAACTTTATTTTTTTTTTTTTAATTTTAAAATTATATTTTTTTTAATGTTTCTTGCTAAAAAAAACACTTACTAATGGCCCTATTAGAACATTGTTTTAATTGGTAAATTCTAGTTAAAGAATTAGATTGTGTGTGTAATTAAACTGGTTGATGACGAGCAACAACTTGTCTCATTTCCTGACCTTTTGAGTGCCTGCGCTTGTGTACCAACCCCGTAGCAATGTATTGTACTCAACGGCAAGCTTGCATTAAAAGACACTATAGGCATCAAAACAACTTTAGCTTAATGAAGCATTTTTTATATGCCACTGCAGTTTCACTGCTTAATTCACAGCCATTTAGTAGTTAAATCACTTTTGTTTCAGTTTTTGCAGCCTTAGTAAAAAAAAAAGTATCATATGTTTAACTTGCTCTAGAAGTTTTTATCTCTCTGCAATTTTAACTTTAATCACACACAATAGGCTTGTGTAGGCTGTAGCACACTATTAAGAGTTAGAGCAATTCTAAATTAAACATAATTTTATTAATGTTTTACAATTAAACTTTTGCTATAAGGTTAGTGGAAACATTAGATGACTCTTTACAGGAAATGTTTTGGAAGGCTATGCAAGTCACATACTGGTAGGTGTGACTTGTGATGTATAACCACTGTGATTTAACTCCTAAATGACAGAAAATTGAGCAGTGAGACTGCAGGGTCATGATCTGTACACAGAAAACTGCTTCATTAAGCTAAAGTTGTTTTGATATCTATAGTGACGCTTTAAGTATCAGAGCTTCAGAACTCACCTCTGGACATTGAAGCAAAAATATATTGCATAATTGATACTAGAGCAGATTAAATTGAATAAAGAAGAGAGGGGAGTTCTCAAACATATAAATCAAGTTTAAAAATTATATTCTGAAAACGTAATGAATGGTTAAACACATTCTTTAAATCTGACTTCTTCCTGCTATTTTACAAATTTTTCTGGCACTTCTGGCCATTACCTTCAAATATTTACCTTTCAACTGGTATCACAAGGCACATGTATTCCCTGTAATACCTCACCATTTCAATCCGTGGGTGTGACTTTAGCCATGAAATGTAAGATGGTATGTTGTGCTGATAATAGCATTTATTCGGTATTCTGCTTCTTATCAGGAGATAAAACATGTATGTCTTTCGTTTATGTTTAATGGCTAAATAAACATAGTTTGGTTTGCATTTAAGTAGCTTGATTACATTGTCTAAACTTCAGTAAATATTACTGAACACATAACATACAGTCCAGAAATAGCAAACGTAGCAAGTAGCAATATGTGGGGGAACACAATGATCGTTTTTTTTTTGTTTTGTTTTGTGTTTAAAAAAAAAAAATTAAAAAAAAATTGTGTTTAACTGTATAATACTTAATAGTGGTTTGTTTCCAATTTTAAAAGATACATTTACTAGAACAAGGTAATAAATTGCAACAGTAAAGATATGTTGTTTAAATTGCTGTTTTGTTTTAATCTGACAAGCCTGCTATATCCCCAAACACTGATATAATGCATTTACTACATAATTTCCTTGGTGAGAAAGAGGATAAATCTTTTTCTTAATAAAGAAATTTAAGTATTTCCGTGTTTTTCTTTTCTTTTTTTTTTCTTCTTCTTTTTTCTAGTGGGTGTAGGCACCACACTTAATTTCCATATATGTTTCACCAACTATGATCTTGTTGTTCCATTGTCGTGCAAACATTTTTTTTCAAATTGATGCACCTTAAATTGAAAACTACAAAAAAATATTTTACATTCACTATAAAACTCTGAACAAATTACTTCTTGTATTCACAAAAAAATCTAAAGAATCTGTTTATTTTTCTTACTGCGGAAATGTTGTAAATTTGTTAGATTAACATAACATTCATTTTTATATGAGCATTTTAAAATGTGTAACCTTTTACAAGCTTGTTTTAGTTTAGTTGTCCAAAAACTAATCTATGTATTTTAAATTCTAGATGACTACCATTTGCCTGTTGATGATCTATCAACTGTAATACAACCTCCAAGTCCCAGGATTTCTAGTGGTGACCTACACTCGGCAAATAGACATTTCCAGTATTGTGGGATAAAGAACATGGAGTTGTCAGACGGTGACAGACCAGTTAGCTTTGGATCTACGTCCTCCTCTACTTCCTCCAGGGATAGTCGCTGCTCTTTTGGAAGTCGAATGACCTTGGCATCAAATAGTCATTTGGGCTTGTTTAATCAGGATAAGGAAGCAGGAGCCATAAAGCTAGAACTTGTTCCTTCCCAACATCTTTCAAACAACGACCTTCACATAAACCATTATGGAGAGCAGACTCTTGGAAACTCAAGAGAAAAACAAGCTGCTGAATGTCGGAGTTTGTCGTGGAAAGAATCCAAAGGATCGGCCACAAATTGCGCATTGTCTGAAGAGGTAGAATCTTCAAGTCCAAAGCTCATGTATGTTGATAGAGTGGTCCAAGAAATTCTTCAGACAGAGAGAACCTATGTCCAAGATCTTAAAAGTATTGTTGAGGTAAGGGGCCTGCTTGTGAAAGTGATCTACCAATGTACTTTTGAAAGGAAAATTAGACCCTTGTATTATTTCCTAAAATGAAGGATGGCGGGTCCAGTCAACTATAACAAAGTTGATCACTGCTTTAATTTTGAATGTTTGTATATTTACAAGTTTATATTGCTGAGTATCTCTTGTATATACAGTGACACCCTATGCTTACCCACTCAGGTGCTAGCGAATCTGTCGATTATGTCACAGTTATTGACTCTAGCGACTCTGATCCCCCCCCCCCTTCCCATCCCCAATTATAATTGGTAAGAAGGTTTTTCTCACTAAGGTACATAACCTGATGAGTCTTTAAATGACCACTCCACACCCAAAAGCGCTTCAGTACCCTTTCTATGAGAAATCTGCACTTTTATAAATTAACTGGGGAACTCCTACCTGACTGTCAATCAAATAGCCAGGGAGGAATTCTTCCTACTTCCATTAGGTCCCCTGAGCTGACTCGCATGTGCGACCCGGCTCACGTGGGGACCAAGTCAGACGCTTTTCAATGAGAAACCTCTGATTGTTTATTTCTATGTGAAGAGACTGAAAGTATCTCCTGGGGAAAACGGGGAGGGGCTTACACAGGTTGCAGTCATTAGAACTGTAGGCTTTGTAATCTATTTTAGACTATACTCCCAATGAATACATGTATGTATTCATTGAGGTATATCTACTAAACTGTGAGGGTTTTTTGGGGGGTAGGTTGGAAGAGTGGAGTGGTCCTTTAACTCAAAGAGGGCTTCAACCTCATTATCATTATAAATGCCATGTTAACTCTCCCTCTTGCCTCTATTTTGCCACCTTAAATCAGAGCACTGCGTTAAGTTAAGGTAAAAAAAATGTCCCATGTGTTACCATACATATAACCTATATACCTACAAATGTGAGTTATTAATAAAACACTCCATAATCTGCATAGTATTTTCTTTTACTTGTTTTATTTTCTTTTACTGTTGACATAATATGCCTTTTTTATTTTTACTGTAATTGTTCTTGCAAGTACCGTATAATCTTATATATTTTATTGCTGAGCCTTTATGCCTGCATATTCCATCATTATACGCTTTTTTCCTGACATCTTGTTTATATTAGAAAATGCAATCTAATTGCGTTGTCGGGTGTCTTGTTAAGCTATGATCTTTTTCACTTTAAGATATCTCATGTATTCTCTCTGCATTTAGCTCAATAAAATGTGAGTAACAAAAAAACCCAAAACAATATATTGGGGATATTACTCTGTAAGCTAACAGAATGTGGACATTTACTGTCTCTTCACAGAAGGCTATGGAAATGTATTGGATGCAGATGGCGTGCATGGATACTTTTGTCTAAAAATAAAATCATTTAAAAAAAAATTATGGATAGGGCATGCATGGTTTGTTGCAGTTAAACATGACCAGTTTGATGTTGCAAAATATACTACTTTTACCACACTTTATGCAATAAGTGCTTATGGTGCTTGGAATGTCCTTTAAAATTCTGCCAGTGTTTGAATGCAACAACTTCTTTTCCTTTTTTTTTCCCTTTCTTCCCTTAGTCTTTCTTTTCATACAGTTTTATAGTTTGTTTTTGTTTTATGGTTCTTATTTTGCTATAGTGTCTTTTTTTATGACAACTCTTGCGATAGCATCACCACAAACAGCTGTTTCAGAAAAGGATTGCTATGCACAGCCTATCTTAGATATGTCAGAACCTGCCTTTCATCTGCTTAAACATTCAAAGATTACTCTGTCGATGATTAACTCTGATGTATCCTAGTTTTTAAGTAGTCTTTGACTATTTCTCTTTTAACACACCACGATTCAGATAGTTAATTAATGTCATGGGTAAACTATACATTAAAGAGTTACTTCAAGCACAGTGATTTGAAGTAGTCATGGTACCTGACGTTTGTGCAACAAATTGCTATGCAGTTTTAGACATACACAGGTTAAATCCACTGCTTCCAGAGATGGAGTAACATTGGAGTGTCATAATCCAACCCAGAACAAGATTTTTGTTTGACTAATGTTAATTCTGTGCATGTTGGCTGTCTGGCATCAGCACGCTGACAATAGGTATCGATGACACAATGCCTCCCATCAACCTGGTTTACCTTCCCCTCTAGTGAGTAGGAGTGACATCAGGTTTAATTGGGTTTAATGAAGAACTTTGCTTTGCATCTGGCTGCTTTTTTTTTTGTGTAAAAAAAAAAAAAAAAAAAAATATTCCCAAAGTATGCACAGTTAGGGTTATACCGATGTTGGTTACGGCATGTGATGGTGTAAAAAAAATGCCATTTAGAACAAAATACCTGGTAGCAGGGCAACTTGGTTGGTAGCAAAATACAGATGAGGCCAGTTTAAACCCTTGGGTTCTATCTGTGCTTCCTCTCTTAAGTATATGGTTTGTTGTGTAAGCATATCTGAGCAACTAATTAAAAAATAAATAAAAAAAAATCCATCAGCAGTGGTTCTGAAGCTTTTCAGCGGAAGTACCAGTATACGCCTGACAAAAACTGACCTAAGCTTTAGTGGTCAGTACAAAATTGCTACCTCCCAAGGCAAAAATTGGGTTTGCTGGCCCTTCATGTACCAACATTTCCCTTCATTCTCTCTTCCTGGCATTTTTGCCTTTCTAGTCTCCCCTCTGTCAGTCTCACTTTCTCCACGTTTCTTTGTTTTCAGTGTTTTTCTATCTGAATCATGCTGCATGTTTGTTACCCAGCTTTGCCTATTTCTCGCTATTTCACTGCCAGGTGCTTTCCACTCTGTCATTTTCATCCTCTGATTCTTTGGTAAGCTCTTTCTTAGATGAGATTATATTCACCTGTATATCAAAACCTGTTATAGTCATTTATTTATATACACATTAGATATATTTATATATACATGTAGGTTTATTGTCAGAACTTAACATGGTTAAAATTGCATATTCAGCTTTTTTGCTCTACGGGAAATCTATTTTATTTGGCACTCTTGACTTTCCTCTTTGTTTTCCAGCAGCTTCCTCGTCAGGTGGAGCAAGGGATACATTTTTAAAAAAAAACATTTTTTAAATTTGGCTTTCTGTAAAACCATGAATACAATGTCATATAACTTAAGTGTTGTTTTGTTAAGAACAGAAATCCTTAGGATACAGCTGCTCTGCATGTTTCCCTCTCTTCTCCTGTGAGTTTTAATCTTATACTCGTGGCTGACCCTGATATTGGGTGTTGAGGTACCCTGCACAAAAGTGTAAAATTGACCGCCCCTCATTGATGTGCGGTATTTAGAAAGGACATGTCTAAATTATTTATTTATTGTCACACACAGAAGGACATGGCATAAGCTGCTTGTTTAAGGCATTCTGGGAATTAAGTACAGGGTGTCTGCATTCTCTGTCTTTGCTTTTTAAATAGTTAACATATACTTTTTCCTTCTAACTAGCTATTTGTAGTAAAATAAGCATATAGTCAGGTGTTACAATGACCCTCCAAAGGGTTTACAAAGATTTGGTATTTCCAATACCTACTAACCCGTGCAATTGATCTTTGGACACAAAAATGAACCTATAAAACTTACTTATTTATGTCCCATGCTGAGTGGAAGGTCTTTGGATTTATTTATTAGACATGTGCAATTCGTTTCGGGCCGAATATGAATTCGGACGAATTTCGGGCAATTCGGACATTCGGGTACTTCCAAATGTCCGAATAGCCGAAGTGTCGAAGTGCCGGAATGCCGAACCGAACAATTTTCCCATGCACATGCCTATTATTTATTTATTTTTGTCACGCTGCCTCCAAATGTCTTTTGATGAGATAGATCTGGGAGTATCCATTTTAAGGTTCATGGTTATCCAGTACTAAACTCTATTTAGAAAGTATTTAGTGCTTTGGCCAGACTCACAATGACATTGTTTAGTGGTGAAATACAGAACAGCATGTTATCTTTTATAAGTTTAAGGACTGAAGAAATTAAGAAATTTAAATGAAATATGACAAAACGCCACGCTGCAGCAATCCAAAGGTCTCTATAAGACCATCTGATAGAAATAGTCAAGTTTAACTCATTTATTGGGGCAGAAGCACCACATGCAATGTAAATTGTGCCACATATACTAAAAGGCAATATTTTCACTTGCATGGGTAAAAAGATTGGCATGCCCCAAGACCATTTAATTGAGTCTCTGGGGGCCTATGGAGTCCTTTTTAACTACTATCTGCATAAAATAATGTTGCTTTATTAGAAGCAAGCTTTAGCAATAGATGTAGGCTTGACTATTATTGACCTGAACAGATATATTTTTCATAGACCTGGATCAGCTTAAAGGAAACTGTATGAAATCTAGAATATGATGGACACCCCTACAATTTATTTTCTCTTCCTTAAAAAGTTGGCCTACTAGGCTAATAATTACATGGTATCTAAGAAATAAAGATCAAACTGATAAAACAGTTACTTATGAGCCTGTATACATGGCTTTGTTCTTTGAAGTTAATTAAGATAATAAAATAAATTGCCATAATTTTAATTAAATCAAAAAGCTGACATCTAATCATTGCAGCATACCAGTCTTATCATTCCTACTAAAAGTCTTCAAAGACTGACCAGTAAACCTCCATTCTACCCATAGTGTCCATAAATAAACTGCCTGTGGAATAAGGATGCTTGCTAATTGTGAAGGGTCTGGGACACCAATACAGGTTTGATTCAGTGGTTGTTTTATAAACCCCTATGTTCGTAAATCGAATACATAGTTCATTGAAAACTAAACTGCAAAATTATAGACAAAATAGCCAAGGTCCAACTGAAGTAGAAATTCAGAATCTTTCCAAATGATTTTTAGCTTTTCTAGTGCCTGTGTGACTTTAGAAATATGTTAGTAGATTATTATTATTATTATTATTTATATAGTGCCATCAGATTCCGTAGTGCTGTACAATGGGTAGATGCACTAGATTAATCAGAGGAATACAGTATTTTCATGAGTGTACTATGTAGATAATCTATTAAAACCTACCTATTAAGAACTGTGCGCAGAGAGAAAAGGACAGGGGACTTACATTCAAAGACAATAAAATAGTATGGTGCTTGTAGTATCCTTTTTAACAGTCTATCTTTACATTTATTATTTCTTTGGATAGCATAACATTTATAAAATATAGCACAACACATTTGCCTTGACAATGTCTATTGGTATGTTAGATTATGGTAGTTTTTATTTATTTTTTCGGTTTGTTTTTTTGTGTCTTGTCTTGTGTCATGGTTCCAGCTCCGATGATCATGGCCATCATGCTGACTCTACCAAGAAAGCAAGAGAATGACCACCGAAGTCTAAGACGTAACCAGTCATTTTATTCTGTAACAGTCTTTCCCTCCTGCTAGCAAAAAAGAATGGTCAATGATCTGTCCATACCACTACCTATGTTCAGTCCTCAATTTTAGAGAACTCTTGGTCATCTGTTTTAAAGCACAAGTACAACAAAGAGTAGTTGACCATATGTTGGATGACCGAAATCCTGTAAAAACTCACACGCTGACATAGCATAAATCATGTTTATGACTGCAAATTTGTCACAGTTTATCAAGTTTTCACCAGTTTGTGAGAACACAAATGTCATTGCCTGCGTACGGATGACAATATTGAGGAGTATGGAGAAGGACTCACATTTAGTTTCATCTCTAATGTTTGGCTTTTGCAGTTAAAAACTGGATCCAAAAGGCAAACTGGAAAGAGAAATGATTTCTGTTAATCCTCAGTTGAGCTGTCAAACAGGCAGACTAGAAAAGTCCATCATTTTCATTAGAATATACATGCACTGTTTTATTTTACAAAACTGAAATATTTGTTGAGCAATCCATTTGTAACTCACCATTCGGTTTTGGAAGCAAGAAATGCCTGCAGATGTGTTGCACATTGAGAACAATGTTCCCTAATAATATTCAAGCTTAAATTTAAATAAGCATATCTGTTGTTCAATCAAAAGAAAAGTAACTACAGAATGTTAATAAAGATTTTGGCTAGATTCACATTCTGTCTCAACTGTTTAATTAGATGAGATGTTTCTAGTCTCTATACGATTTATTCCTTTATTCCTTTTATTATTCTGTTGTATTAGAGTTGTACGAACTATAGAAATAATACATTTAAAACAAATGGTCACTGGATAACAACAATGCATCAATCTGGTCTCCTTAACAGTATTGAGTGTAAGCACAAATATCAGTCAAGGACAGATTAACATAGTAATGTATGCTTTGAAATGGGCTCAAGGCAGCCGTATGTTGTAAGGCTTCTGCGACTACACTGGTATTCCACTCATACCAAGCCGCTTTATTTATTAATGGTGTACTGTGCATAGAGGCTGGTTTCATACTATGTTCGAAGCCTGAAAGCCAGATATGTAACATTGCAGTTTTACAAGGAGGCAAATGCAAAAGTTATGTGGGCCAACAGTAATACGTCACACATTTGGTCCACAACTACTGTACCCATGGGAATTTAAATACAACTTTTTTCTAAATAGGTTATTTTACTTTATTTTATTTTTTTGGCTCAAGCTATATTTTTGGCTATATCTATCACTGACTCCATCACTATAGAATCAAGCTGTCCCCTCATCAAGACTTGATTAAGAATATTGCAAAACAGGCTATGTTAGACTGGGAATGATTTGCACAGGTATGTCAAATTTGCCCTAGACAACTGCCCACTCATTGCTCTCTCATCATACAGTAGATAAATTGTAACACAACAGTTTAGTGAGGATGTTTTGCAGAACATCAAGGGGTAAAAAAGCTAAGTGGATCTAAACTTTATTAAATCACTGCAGTCCAGCCAGCACTAGACCTGGCACAGGGCATAACCAAGATAAATGTATTCAATAAAGAAACATGTGATTCTGTATAAAACAGAGCCAATATTACTAGTGTAAAACCAGCAGTAGATACCATCTATGGGTGTCTCACTATTTGGGCATTATTAATCTATTGTGCCTTTGAGATATCACCTCTAAAAACCAAAGTTCGTATCTCTACCAGAGTAATTGTTATCAATAGTATATGTAGGTTTAAGCAATGTCCTCCAGACCTCGAAACAAGGAGCAAAAACATGCGAAACATGCGTGCCTTTTTGGAATATCCGTATGGGGGGGGACTCATTTGACTTATGTTTACACTTGTGTTTTGACCGACTTAATGGGTCTTTATCAGACAGTGTTGTCTCTGGTATTGTATCCTCGACTGTTTATCCCTCATTGCTTTTACCTACATACCTGTATTTTAAGCTGCTAATAAATTTAAAGAACCTTTTTGTGGAGAGCTGCTGGGGGTATTTGATATCACAGCACAAGCTGGGAGGTCCTTGAAATAGTTTCCTCAACTCTACACATCTATATATTACTAAAAAAAATTTATTTTAAAACTAAATATAGGCACCACAAACATTCTACATGTATAACTAGCGCGGTTATCATTCTTTTTTTTTTTTTTCCTTTTACAAGTATTATAGAATTATTAGAAATAAACGCTAGACTTCTATATTGTAAAATGATAAAATGTATTTAATGGTTATGTACAGGAGAAAGTAAAAATTTATATTGTTCTTTAATTGTGGTTTTACAAATCTCAGTATAATATGCCTATAAATACGTTGCCACCAAAGTAGTAGAGTTGTCACTCTGGCTCTTATTTATGGCAGACTATAGTGAAGGAAAAATGGCTGGTCTGGAAAACATCTGTTAAGGTAAGGGTAAAAGGTCACAGGTGAATGAGAACAGGAATCTAACCATTTGAATTTGAACTAGGCTTCCTAGGGTAGCAAAAGCCAATGAAATATAATACTTTACAAAAGGTGAGAGGGGCTTGAAACGTAACACGTCTGCACCCTCGAGCTGTCTAAAACATTTAAAAGAAGATCAAGTAAATTTGTCTTGGGTCTTAAATTCCTTGAGTGAAAATATTGATCTTCTATCTCCTTTGGAGGGAAGTGAAAACATCCTCTAAATTCTGTTTTGGACACATACTGATGTTCTGCATAGTTCTTCCAAAGTCACTGCGGTGTATTCACTAAACAAATAATTGGAGTGAAATAAACAAAATAGCAACATATAGCCTTTTTTATTTAAATGGTCTGTCTAAATGTTGTAATTTGTTTTATCAATCACTACTAAGTGTTTAGTGCATAAAACCCATGGAGGGCTGAACGTGGCTACGTCCTATCCGTTAAGGTCATGTCTTTGGATCTGTGCAGTCTAGGTAGTTGCCATGCTACTTTTAGATGCAAGATCTCAAATGCTTTTTATGCATGGAGGCCTGTACATAGGGTTGCAATATATTTTGTAATTTGTGAATTGTATTGTCCTCACAATGCTCATATAAAATATTCCTTTCCTTTTTTCAGGAACTATCCATGTGGCAAATTACCTATTTGCAGTCCATGGTCTTATTAAGTTGATTGAAGTACACATAACAGAGAGCATCTCTTTCTCTATATTCTTGCTTCAGTGCGTGACTATTAACTTAATAGGAGCTTAGAGTGCAAGTGGTTATCCAAGCTGAGTTTTTAGAACTTCTGAAAGGATGGTTTCCCTTTAAAAATGTCAACTTCAAAATATTGGTAATGGTAGTAATGGCTTTGTATTCATAAGCACACACTACTATTATAGCACCACTGATAGTGTCCTGTGGGGATAATGAGAAAACCTGGACTGTTTGTGTGGCTTGATGTTGTGTGCAGCAATGTGACTCTTATAACTAATGGTACTGTTAATGTTCTGGACTCGGATGCATTTTTAAGGGGGATGGAAGAGTACAGCCTAAATGTGGTGCTTCTTATTCTTGAACATATCTAGCCAGTGGGTGGAAGTGGGGCTGCCACATCCCGGTCCTATCATTTAGTGTTGGCCCAAGTGGAAGCAGCATTGTGTAGACAGAAACTCAGGAATAGGAAGCTCTGTAGGGTTTTCATACTTCTATCTACTCTGACTGCTGTGTCCTGGCCAAGCCTGTGGGAAGGAACTGGGAAAGGCGAGATGCTCAAGAACCATCCCTTTATGCACTTACAGGAATTGCAAGTCATCCAGCTGGCCTGGGAGCCAGCCAGCGTGCAAGGCCATCTGGCAGTAAGCCAGCCATTGTGATCTGGCCTGGACTAAAAAGTTCCACATTAATCAGTGGAGGTAGGTAAGGAAAGTCAAAAGGAGGAAAGGTAACTGGGTAGAGAAGAGTGTGGCAAAGTAGCACAAGGTGTAGGGGAAGTGGAGCATAGGAAAAAATCCTGGCTAGGGGAAGTGGGATGTAGGGGAAAATGGGGACATAGAGACACAATGGTAGGGAAAGTGGGGCAAAGGAGTCCTCAACTTTGGTTTTTCTTTTACGTTCTGGGTATTTTTAAGCTAGAAAAGCTGCTGTAACTCACAACAGAATATCTGGCTTGGTATGTTTGAGTCACAGTCCACTCTGCCTTAACTGCAGGTACTCCCTAACCCAAGGCCGTCTTTAAAAATGATTGGATCATGAGCAAGCATTTGCTAGGGCCGTGCCCCCCCACTCCCTCATATGCAATCATGCCCTCCACCCCAACGCAGTGGTGAAACTAAAGTTCCCTGGTGCAAGAATTTTATTTGGCCCCCAATTGCAAGGTTGGACAAAAGGTAGAACCCTATCTGTCGTGCAACTCCAACAACGCCTTGACAGGTGGGGTTCTACCAATTTCCCATGCTTGCAGGGTACTTTGCACTGTTTGAATGTAAACATGTTTTTGTATGAAGTATGTTTGTCTGAATGTGTTTGAGTTTAAATGCAAGCGTGCATTTATGTGTAGTGTTGTTTTTTGAATGTGTGTTTTTATATATAATTTTGGTGCTCAGACACACTGACACACGCAAATACACAGACACGTAAACTGACATACTGACACAGATACATACACTGACAGACATACTGACACACACAGGCACATACACTGATAGATGTACTGACGTATACACAGGCACATAAAAAGACATACTGACATACTGACACAGATACATACACACACAGACATACTGACACACATACAGACATACCCTCCCGTTTCTGATCTTTTGCTGGAGGGTGGCTTCCCTGGCGTCCAGTGTGGTGCCTGAGGCTGATGGGAGTGAGGAGCCATCCTCACTGCCTTCTCCTCACTTCCGCTCTGCTCCTTCTGCTCCCGCCCGCGCAGCTGCTCTCTCCTCATGGGAGGAAGTGACTCGTGGCAGTCACTGCCTCCCATGTTACTGAAAAGCAAGGGCCTTTTTGTGCTGTTCAAGGGCCACTGCAATGGACCGGGCCCCTGCTGATAGAAGCCCACCGGGTGGCCCTAAGTGCATGGGCCACCTGGTGGGCGTCCTTAGAGTGCGGGGCCCAAATAAATTGAAGGCAGCAGGGCACACACGGCAGCTGCCTTGGGCCCCCCAGGAGTAACTGGGCTCGGGCCAGCTGCCCCGTTTGCCCCGCGTTAAAGATGGCCCTGCCCTAACCAAATGGATACTATAATTTTCTGCAAAATTGCCTGTTGCAAAATGTAACATGAAATGATTTCACTAAAATATTTTAAAGTATCAATCCTCCTTGATAGACACCTAGCTTAAACTTCCATTGTGACGTCTCTAGCTACTAATAGAGAAGGGTTCTTTAAAGCAAAAACAAAAATCGTTGAGCAAGTTATCCATGAGAACTGCCTCACTCCTTCTTGTGCTGTAAACCCTGACTGAGTGGGAGATAAGTTGCACTGATAGCTCCTACTGACTACACTTCTGCTCCAGTGAACTGGAGAAATTCTGGAGAGACAGCTGCTTTTATTTGGCTTGTCATTATGCATGGGATAGATCTTTGAACTATATTGTCAATCTTCCAGCTGTTAACGGTTATAAACGCTACTTTTAATAAAAGGAAGCAGAGCTAATCATTTTTCCTCTGTCACGTTTGCATAAAGGGCATTGATGCAGTTGGTTTGTTTAATAATAAGTGTTTTCAGAACTACAAGGTTCTTTGGAAACACATTTTTATTTCATTTATTTATTTTCTGGGGAATGAGCATCAAGTTTTCTGTATCTTTACCTTGGATTATAATTTACGACATCTCAGAAAGAGCAGAAAATTTTATACATAACATTGACATTTGTTTGGGTTTTTTTGAATAAAGAAAATTAAAAGGTACTGTAAATTTGCAGAATGTTTGTAATGCTTCAGATGGCATGTACTATATACATAATGATAGGATCATATTTTCGAAGCCTCCGTTCCGGCATTTGGAGAGAAAATACCAATGAGACCCAAAAAATGCCAGGAAGAGCTCTGATAAAGTCACTGTCTTTTGTAACTGAGTGCGGTCTGCTTTTTGCTGCTTTGTAACAAAACCACGTACCGTTTACACAATGTCTAGATGTAGAAAATAAGAAAAATTCTGACTTCCTGGTTTATTTTCCAGGCATTGCTGTTGGATTACATGCTTCATACCAATCTGTGTTTCCTTGGTACAGATATAAAGACATATGGAATGTGTTTATGCTATATAAAGACATTGAGCTCTTTTGTGTACATTGTAAGACAGTGCTTGCTCCTTTACACTCTATTTGTGCATGGTACATGGTGGAAAGTCTACTATCTGCAGACGGCTTGATATGAACTAAACAGCCGTGTGCTGGAATTTAACGGGTTTATGCATTTATTATCTATGTTGTGCCCATGCTCAATTTCCACAGATTTAAACTGTATGGATAAATTAGAGCAGGCTTCCCCAAACTCCGGCAATCCAGATGTTGCTGAACTACAACTCCCACGATTCTACGAATGAAAGGCTGAGAGTCATGAGTGTTGTAGTTCAGCAACATCTGGAGGGCCGGAGTTTGGGGAAGCCTGCATTAGAGCAAGCATGTCAAACTTGCGGGCCGCATGCAGCCCACAATGGATATATTTGCGGCCCACCTGCCCTGGGGCCACTTTGTGTTGTGGCTGAAAAGATATTTCCTGTCTCATTCTGGTCTTCCCTCCCATGGCCGATCGAATGCTCCAGGCAGGCCAGCCACTCCCCCTTCCTTCGATCTCGCAGTGCTAGAGGTGCTTCTGGCCTGCTTGAGCAAAGAAGAGCCGAGCGGGAACTGGAGGGCTGGTGGCTCATCTGTAGATAGGGTAAGAGGGGTTTGTGGGATCTTCCTGTGTAGTGTGTTAAATTGGGGAGGGGGGGCATTGTATTAATTTGAGGGAGGGAGGGGGGCGTTGTATTAATTTGAGGGAGGGAGTGGGACTGTGTGTTAAATTGGGGGGAGGGCAGTGTATGAAATTGGGGGAGTGAGGGGGCAGTCTATTAAATTAGAGTGGAGAGAGGAGGATCAGTGTATTAGAGTGGAGTGAGGGGTGGCAATGTATCGCATTTGTGTGCAGTGTATTAAAATGAGGGAATGGGGCAGTGCATTAGATTGGGTCTGGAATGGAGGCGCTGAACCCTCCCCATGGAGATGTCGATTGGCCACACAGCTTTTTGCCACACATGCACAATAGCCTTCCAGCATTAAATTGGCTGAGATCATCAAGTTTGATCTCAGCCAGAGTGAAGAACACACTCATAGGACTTCAAAATCAACAAGATAATGGAATTTGTTACATTCACCATTTCAGTCACATTACCAAACTTTTCTTAGTATGTCAAGGTAGTTGGACTGAAACATTGATTATATACAAATGCATATCTCCTTAAAATAAAATATCTGTTTTATTTACTTTGAAGCCCTACAAGCGTGATGACGTCCAGTGTCAGGCAACTTTATTTTATGTTGTACTTTTCAAAATTAACCTACTTTTCTATGAAAACAGAAGTTTTTTATTTATTTTTTATGGCCCACATAAACTTAAACCTTGTTTATTTAGCCCGTGTTGTCCTTTGAGTTTGACATGCTTGCCAGGAATCTCAGATATCAATGCTCTGACTGTAGTCCTTAATGCGGGAGTTGTTTGCCATGTTTAAAAGAAATGCTTTTGGGGTCTTTTTATAAACAGACCCCCAGAATGCATTTTTTTATTTTCATACCCATCAGATGATCAGTATTGCCTTGATTATTTAAATTATGCTTGCCATCTTTCAAAAAATTTATTTTGAGGGTGTTAAGCGAATCATAGATTTTTAGCTTGTTTGATGAGTAGCGGACTTTATTACCTCCTCTGAGGCCCATGGAGGTTATGATTTTTTGCACAAAAGGGAGGATGTCCCCCTCGCCCACTGTTTCAGGTAACCCTCAGATTCGTATGTTTAATTGGCGATGTCGGGTCTTCAGGGACATCACAGTCCTTTTCAGTCGTTTGACCTGGTCTGTGAGGCTTCCCAGCTGACCTTTGGTTTCACTGAGCCTTTGGTCTCTAGAGGTCTCCTTATCTTCCTATGTATAACACTGATCTTGGCCTGGGTCTTGTGGAGGTCTGCCTTTCAGACCTGTCGCAGATTCACCAGCAGTCTCTTTGTCTCCCTTCATGGAGGGCGAGGAGTCCTCGTCTGACTCTGAAGAGTGATATACTCTGCCTAGGTGAGGCGGATTGCACTGGGTCTGAGACGCCATTTTGGTCTGTGGTGGTGGTGGTGGTGGTGCAGGCCTTTTAAAAGGGGGGTCTGAAGTTGGGCTGTTTGGCCATTTCTGACACCTGTGCCTATGCCCATATTGACTGCAAGGGGTTGCGTCGGCTTGTGAGTGTCTTTTTGGACGATTTAGTCTCTGAACGGCATTGTCATATTGGAGCCCCACTTGTCCAGGAAGAGATTTCAGTCAGACAGTGCCTGATGTGCGATAGCAGACAGATTGACAGGTCAGGGAAGGTGAGGTAAATGGTTATGTCCTCATCATACAAGTGGTATTGAAACCAAGGGAATCAATGCGATATGTTGCTTTTGTCTGTACCTTTGCCAAAGCCAGCACTGAATAAGACCGTTTAGTCTATCATTTGACAGTTGAAATTATGGAGTATATTAAGCAGACTAACTTTATTTGTGTATGGAAAAATATAAAGCTGTAAAATCTATTTCAATGTGCTCTGTTATTGTTATTTTGAATTGCTCACTCACACAACTTTCCTTTCACTTAAATCTCCTACCTATAAATCAGTATCTAGGTTTAAAGAAAGTCAGATAAAAACAGGGTCATCTTCAGGCCCAGGGGATTTTATTTAAACTTGCCTTGCATATTCAGGGAGGGTTTGTAATATGAGAACACAGGTTGCTTGAGGCACTAGGCCGGACAGGTGTGAGTGTATAATTTGTTTTCTAAAGAAAATCTAGATACTAAGATATAGCATTATGGAAAATGCACTTAAAGCGCTTTCCCACACAACTGAAATGTTAGCTAGCGAACTGCTTGCAGGGCAGCTGAAATAGTGCAATACTACTAGGCTTATGGCACATGTATTACACATCCTGAGAATGTTCTCCCTCAACCAGAGCCGGACTGGGACAAGTATTCAATATGGGCATTTTAATGCAGAGCATCACAATAGGAGGGGACAGGACCAGAGAGGGGGCATGTTTTGTCATAAACAATGACATACACCTCTGTCCCCCAAAATGTGGAATGCCACATCAGGGGAACTCATGCTCAGAGCACTGCTGAAAAGCTTTTACAGGGCAAATGCTCTGTGTTTAGTGCAAGCTAATTTAAGGAGGGTCTTGTTCTGCATTTGCTGCTGCTGTATTTATGAGTGTGGGGATGAGGCTTGTTTTTTTTTTTATATTTGCTTTTGAGGTTGCATGTGTGATGTAGGCTGTTTGTGCTGTTGTGTGTGTGTGTGTGTGTGTTAGGCTACCTGTGGAGTTTGCGTGGGGCGAGTTAAACACAAACATGTATTTAACCCCCACCTTGTGGTTTACCTTGGGCCAGGGAGATGGGTATGATGTATCCTGGTGGACAAGTTTCAAACACATGCACCTTGTCTGCAACCCCAGTGAATACATAAAACTACGTCCTGCCTGCACTGGGGAAAATATTAGGGCATTGCCATGTTTCAAGTAGTAGCCCTTAAGAACTAACCCTCCCCTCTAAAAAGAAATAGGCCAATCTTTATTTTTCTGTGCAAATGAGTACAAGCAGGCTTATAGCAATGGTAAGCTTCAATAGTTTGCTTATCTGTTAAATGTTGAACTGAACAGGGAATGCAAGTTATTTAGGGCCAAGCTATTTGAATTATCGTTGTTTTGCAATTTGGCTTTATTTCTGGTTTGGTTGTTTTGTCCTAAAATGAAAACTCCTTGTTCAATTCACCAATTCCCATTGCGTTCTATGGCATAGATACTCCGAGTGGACTAAAAATGTCAATCCTTTTTTAAAGTATTTCTCTTACAAGTTACTTTGTGTTTAAAATATGTCAACAATTTTTTTTTTTAAACTAACACCTTAAAATGTTACCTTTCATTACTATAAAAAAACCTTTTTCATGCCTTCACTTCGTTTTTTTTTTTTTAAAGTGTGTTTTGAAATACCAGTGGTGCAGTTTATCATTTATCTATTTAGACCTACCGTAGTTTTGCATATTGTCATCCTATTGTTTAGGTGACAGAAAGCAACAGCATCCATCATGCCACTCTTATAGTGACTTTCACTAAAATGATACGTTTGGGGTTTAAATTGGCATTTAGGTGATCCGTTTTGGGGTGTTCTCTGTATATGTTTGTGCACACATGTATATATTGTCTTGCAGTTTATTGCAAATTGTAGATCATGCTGGGTGTTGGAAATGTAGCTAAATCTAAAATACACACACAGTTTATTGCTGCTCTCCTTTTTATATCAAGGCTTTTATTGTCTAAAATTCTGTTTCCAAGTATTTAATTCCAACGAAAAGTGAGAACCTTTCTTTTGACATTTAATTTTGTGACAAAAACATGTCCTTGACAAGAAGAACAAAATTGAAACACTTAGACTTGCAGTGGATTTGTGAAGTATGAATACATTTCTGTATATTGAAATAAAAAATACTGTTCCCTGTCTGCACAGCGTGCACCTCTTTGTCCCCTGCTAGAGTTTTGTGAACAGATGAGTATTGTGATCTTCAATAATACATTGACTGTCTTTCTACAATAGGAATGGTGAATGTTTCCACTAATAACGTGAAACTGATATTGAGGATTTATCTTGCACAAGTAATGAGTCGAGAACTGCAGGGTGTGTTTTGAGGTTTTTAAAGCTTTTCTCTCTTTTTTTTTTTTTTCTTTGCAGGATTACCTCAATTGTATTTCTGACCAAGCGAGACTTTCACTAGGAGCAGAAGAAAGATCAGCTCTCTTCGGAAATATTCGAGATATCTACCTTTTCAACAGGTATGTTGGAAGTAAAAGAAAAAAAAATCTGGATATGGACTAAGCGTTATTTTATTTTCAGTAATGACTCTTTGAGATCTTCTCCACTTCATGCACACTTTGGCCTCAATGTAATATTTTGGCGTAAGCTTTTCCAATAATTTAGTATATTTGGATAAACTTTGAAAATATATATATTTTTTTTTTCAAATGATTAAATTATCTAAAATATAAGGATAAAAAAATCGATATATTACAGTGTTAATTATTTTTCAAAACTATTAATTATTTGAAGTGTATCTAAATATATTAAATAATTTGAAAAGCTTATCCAAAATATATTACATCAAGCCCCTTGTCTGTAACATATCTCCACCTCTACGAATATGGTATACTAAAATGGAGGAGCTAAGGATGCTGGATGAGTTGACTCTTTCGGCCTGGTGTAGAACACAGTCTACTTGGGTATATGGGCCCAATGGCTGTCTACAGCCTTCTCACCTATCTCTTCTGAGCTACTCACCAGTAAAGCTATGAAGCTTTGGCTCATTATGGTGATACTGGGCTGGCGGTCATCTGCGTTCTCCTATTGCTCCGGGTTACCAGGTTCGCTCACCCTATAAGTTTAATTTGCCTCTCATGGAGGCTCTTATATTTTTTAAATTAGTTGGTATTTTGTTACGTACCACTTGTATTGTTATCGCCTTATTTTAAGCTATGCGTTTGTTAACAGAATGGACAACCCTGATACACTGATTGTTATGTGCAGGCTCTTTTGTCCATTATTGAATCAAACAATTGTGCTTATATTTGGTGAAAATTTAATTAAAAAGATTTTCATTAAAACAAAAAAAACAAAAAATGTATACCCATGCTAAATGACAGTTTGTATTCCCTTATTTTATACAGTACCCTAATAAATGAATGATGAAATCATTATGCAAACTTATTTGGAATTTTGGCCAACTTGCTTAAGTGATTCAAATCTGTGGATCTGTAATAAACTAGTCTAAAAACTCCCTAATTAGTTAGTAAAGTACTAAATGGAAATATGTTATTTATGCATTTTATTAGTCTCTTACTGCATTTATGAATCTACTCAGCCCCACATTGCTTGTCTGACTTACTAGAGATATTTAATAATTAATTGTTGGCTCTTCCTAGGGATGTATGTCTGTCATGTAATCCGATATTGTATGTACAACTGCATGATTTGTTCTTATAACATTACACTCCACGCACCATAACCACTGCTTTTCTGCTGGCACCTAACCACTACAGTGGGTCGTTATGGTACTTGGAGTGTTCCTTCAATTTTCTTTCTGGACAGTTTAAACTATTCCACATTCTAGAATGTCAGATCAAGGACTACATTTCAGGAAGGATTAGCTTATATCTATTGTTGGTTAAGATATGGGTGTAATAACACTTGAAGGAAATGTTCCAGCAAGGGAAAAAATAAGCTACAGTAGATTTAAAAAAAATTAAAAAAGTCTTCCTTTGTTTTAACCTGCCAGTAAGTAAATAAAATAGATAACAAATCTTTTTGTAAATCTAATTCCTACAAATTTTTACAGATGTTGGTAACTGCATATTGAAACTGGAATTCCCCAAAGCTAGAACAGGCTTCCTGTTATATGCAGATTTACAATCTGAAATAAAATGGCATTTCAATTTAAGTGCCTTTAGTGTGTAAAAAGAGTTTTGAATCAATTTGTTATATTATTTAAATTGCAACTTTATACTCAATAACTTGTACGATGTGTAGGCAATACATACCATTAAATTCAGCAACACAAGTTGACTTATAAAATCAAGTGGTGGTTAGGTTCTTTCTCAAACAAGCTTTGCAAATGAATGTATATTCCAGGACATTATAGAGGTATGAAGTCACAAAAAACATCCAGGAATGTTATACACTCTGGCCACACTTTTAAGCGCATCTTCAAAAATTAAATATGCATCTTTTGGAATTTTTTTTTTTTTTTTAAAGACCTCTCTGCAGATATATACCCACACGGGGTTTCAGACTTGGTGTATTGTCTAATCCACACCTAATAGGATTACAGTTACGGTCAGATCTGTCTCCAGCTGTTATCTTGGTGAAAGTCACTAGTTTTTATTTGAAATCGATAGAGGTTGTTAAAATTCAATTGATCAATTACAGCTATAAGTGAGGGTAAATAAAATGTAGGGTGTCTCTTGACATAAACATTGATTCATGTATCGTAAAAACATTGTCTACTTTCTAAATGCGTTATTTTTTTTAAAAGATTACTCCAACCACCATAATCACTTCAGTAATTTGAAGCGGTCATAGTGATAGGAATCTGGATGTGTAGTGTTTCTGCTTAAATACGTGTACATTCAGATATATTTGCACTTGTATGCTACGGACTAGTTGCACCATCGGCACACGTGACTTAGGCAGCCCATAACTCTGTTCCTGACTGGGTATGGTCAGTTCTGTGCATATTTTACGTCTGTTGTCCGCTTGCACGCTGGCAGCAAATGTAATAATCTTCTCTTTTTCCGCTCCTTCCGTGATTGTGCTACCTTATCCCTCCCTTCATAACTTGAAAAAGTAGGGAAAAAAAAAAAAAAAAACCCTCCTCAACTGCCCTTGCCAGCCAAGAATGTGTGCATGTGACCTGAGTCTGGTGTACGGTTCAATCACAGGATTCTTTATGAGAATTCTGTGTTTGGACTGCGCGATTGCAGGGATGATGTCAGGATGAGACGTGGAATATGGCGGCGGGAACTTCACACAGTGCTGGATGTGAGGTAAGATTAAAACCTTTTTGACAGGGCCTGGACCTCATAGAGAGTATTGTAAACAAACGGCGTAGCCGTATAACAATTTTTTTCAATACGTGTCTGTCTATTTTTCCGTTTTGCTCTTTAAAATGCTATTACTTTAAAATAAACAAATGTTAAAAAGTAGCACATTTAGAATTTAAGTGCGAGGATCTCTTTTTTTTCAAAAATTTGGAAGACTATAGTAAATGTGTAATGTATTAATTGCGTGTCTGAACAATGGATCACTCTTGGTTTTGTGATATTTCTTTTAACAGAAGCTTTTTAAATCATGGTGATGACTATTGTTATTCAGTGATCATTATTCTAATTGTGAATTATGATTTTAATTCTCATATTTCTTAACTTTTCTAGTGAGCTTCTTCAAGAGTTAGAAAACTGTGACAATGACCCTGTTGCAATAGCAGAGTGCTTTGTTTCAAAGGTAAGCTTTAAGTTTCAACTTTTAAACCATAGGATAGACAAAGGGAAATTTAAAATACAGAACTTTCAGTTAAAGGGTTACTTTGACATTTCTGAGAAGGAGACATTTTCAGTGTAATATACTCCATTGGACACTTTGAAGAAAGTCCCCCTCTCAATTTTGCAGTAAAACCTGCCAAAAAAAAGGTTTTACTTACCTGAAATCTAGTTGTGGACAAAGCTCCCGGCCTTATCTTCCATGTCCCCTCCGACATCACTGAGACCATGTGTTATTGGACCATTTTGCTCCTGGCGCGCTTGGTCTATCAATGCAGTCCAAATATGGATGAAGTGGATATTGCTAATGGGGATTTTTTTTATCAATACCACAAACAGAGGACCAAACTTACTAGCACCATAATCACTATAACTGCATGTAGTAGCTATGGTAATTTTTAGATTGACTTTTTAAAAATGTCTTCAAAGAGACACTCCAAGCATCACAAGATTATATACTCTCCTTGAATAGGGTATGGTGCAAGGAGGTTCATTGTCTTCCTTCTTTATAAAGATAGATCATATTTTATATTGATCTGCTAGAGCTCCTCCCACAAGTAATAGTGTGTCTGTTAGTAGAGTCCACCTTAGCCCTGTCTGGGCACCTTGTCCACAGACCCCTGGCTGTCAGCCTGGAGGACTTGGGCTGTAGATATCTATAAACAGCTTGCAAAATCTGCAATACCCAATGGAAGAAATGCAGCAATAAATGCATGAATGTTTGCATTAGGGTTATATCTAGTAAATTGCAAAAAATAAATAAAAACATTTTAAAAAACCCTTTATATTTATATATTTATATTCCAAGACTTAAAATAATGAACCTCCAGCAATCAATGTGCTTCTACATATCTTTGCAAGAAAAAAACAATATGACATTTCTCATCTACCAATTGTACTGTACTTGGTCTGTCTAGGAAATATTCTGTGAAAATAAAGTACATGATCTCCTTTTAATAATGAAAACCAAAAATATTTGAATCTGTCTGAGTTTTCAAGCCTAGTTTGCCTGTAGGCACAACAGTACAGACTTACCCTAATGCTTTTAAAATGAAGATTTTATGGGTGAACTCCATGCAGAATAGAGAACAGTATGAGGAAAACTGTACACTTGCAGACAGAATTGGTAAGGCTAAAACAGTTGGTTTCTTACAATTTTTTTTTACCCTTGAATACATTGATTATTAATGTTATTATAATTTTACAAATGGTCTATTGAAAATCTGGCACCATAGCTTAAAGTGCCAATATAGTTTCTACTTTTTGCATAATTTTAAGCAAATAAGTACTTAAATGTCATTATGGCAAAATCACTGATGGCCAATGCCATTTATTTGGTCAGTACATACGAAGTCCAAGATGCAAGATATTGCCCTGAATGGATTTTCTGTAAACCTTAGTCTTCAAATGCTCAGAGCATTCTTTGTTCAAGTAGCATTTGTTCCATGTTCACTAGCAGCAAAGAAGAGTTGGCACATTTGAATTCTTATTAACACACAACTCAGATCAATATCAGAAGGATAGCATAGTAAGTTGATAAAATAAATCACAATCCATCACTCATAGAATTCCTTGAATTCATAGTTATGTATTTAATTTAAATGTTGTGCAATATATAACTTTTAACCATGTTGTTAAAAAAGCTGTGTCAAACACAGTGCTTTTGGGAGCACATCTGGCCTTTGAAGGGATTAAAAATATGTTAATAAGGATACACCCATATATTATTTATTTAGATCTCTCTGTGGGTTTGATTTCCTATTGTCTCACTGTTAAAATAACAAAATATTATCCTACTATCTGCTGCACATCTGTCTCAGAGCACGGATCACAATCCTCGGCACGAAATGCAACACAGGGATCGTAGAGACCTATAGGGATGGGACAACGACGTGACCACAGGATACGTTGAAATCCAAACGTAATCACCAGAATACTAGATCCACAGGGACACATTAACCTTATCACCATGGGACCTACAGCCTAACTATGACTGCTCTAGCCACACACAATAGGGGAACAAACATAGATGACCTCCTACCCAATGTGGAATCGCTGACAGACCCCCCTCCCCCCGACTACCCACCGTACCCGAGCTAACAGTACAAGTTTCTATAGCAATACAATATCTATAGTATACAAACTGAACTGTGGGGGGTAAGCGGGAGGAGGTAGGGTGGGGGTGGGGGGTGTGAAGGGGTCAGGGGGAGGAAGAGAGAAAGCGAGGGAGAGGAAAAAAAAAATAATCAGAGGAAACAGCTAGTCTTCATAAAAAGGACACTAACATGGAAAAAAAGTCAACCTCGTCCGAAATCCCTCCATCAAACTTGTCTTGATAACAATTGTATTATGTAGAGGGTTGTGTTTAATGACCATGCACTAACCTCTGTAAATTGTATCTTTCCCACAAACATAAAAAAATAACAAAATATGACCCAAGACCTAACCATAGCTGTAATGCCGTTTAGAAAGTGCATTAATACTCTTATTATAGGACCACTAAATTTGCCCAGTCCACTTCATCTCAATGAAGTGGCCTGGATGCAGTGGTCCTGTCTATCTAACCCATAAAGGATTAAACACACCTCTATTGGCTGTTAAAAAGTTAAAGCTGAATTAAACCCTATATAACCTATTATAAACCCATCAGTGTAAAGCTTGTTATTCAAGTTTATATTGGTCAATAATACACGCTGGGAATGGAAAGTCTTCACATTGCCAAGTCTTTCCTACTCTTTAACAGGAGCACTACGAGGACCATACCACTACAGCTCGTTGTAGTGCTTGTGGTGCCCAGAGTACCCTAGCACTAACTTCGCATTGTAAGAAGTAAAACCATTTTTGAACCATTTGTCTTCCTGCTTGGGATCTGCAAGGTATCATTCCACACCTCCACTACCATCTCCCAAAGAGCTGGAGGTTTCTCAGCAGAAGCTTCTGTTGGCTCTCTCCTCAATTATGACCTACAATGCCAAAATCTGTCAAATGCATTTAAGTTCTGTTACATTGGCCTTGATTTAATAAGCTTTCCAAATTATTCAATAATGTTAGAAACATTTTTCAAATTATTTATCTACACAAATTCCTGTACACTTTAATGGTGGAAAGTTTTTCAAGAGTAATAAACCACTTAGAAAGCTAATTAAATTGAGGCCATAGTAATCGAGGTTGAAAAAAAATACTCAAGTCCTTAGAGTCCAACCTTTAAAAAAATAAATATTTTTTTTTTATCTTTTAATGCTGTTGGCAAATATAAATATGAAGCAATTTTCAATTATGCCACAAGAATGGGTGGGGGTAATCAATCTTTTCACATACATCTTGAATTGTCTGTTTTTCCAAAAAGAAATCCAGAACTTTTTTTTTTTCTTGGTAGAGATTTCCACATATTTATTGTTTTTATTGTAAAGACTTGTTCTGTTCCTCTGTTGTAAGCGAAAGCTCATTTCTTCCAGTCTCAACTGCACATATGGGGCTGTATCTAAATAGTAGAACATTATAGCATTAAGGATACATGTTTGTATTGCAAATGCTATAGTGTTCCTTTAACATATTTTATCTTTACTGACAAATCAAATGGACAACTAATGGAAGCTACTGTTTGCTGTTAAAAAGTCTAATTCCCACTGATCACATTCATTCCATGATAGGTGAAACACAAAGTGCTTTGTAAGAGAACACCATTCCTTATCACTTGAGCTAGTTGATCTGTTTGCATAAGAGGGTCTATATAATTACCAAATAGTTAGTCTTGCTGGGGTCATCTCAGAACAAATTAATTATTGAATGCAATGGAGCATTTGATAAATATTTCTATATTGTGGAGCATTGACAAGGGAATTTCAAATATTAAGACAAAACTTCAAATTAGAAAAATTCCTCATTACAGCTATTTTTCTGTCTGCTTATTTTGACCCAAATTGTGCAGTTCTCTAGCAAATAACTGCAGTGATAACATGAAAGTAGTGTAAAATCCATTTTAGACTACCCACTTAAATTAAGGTGTCATTAAACTGTAGTGTAGAGGCATTGTGATTAAGTATTTTAGGAGTAATTATATCAAACACCAGGAGATAACACTCAGTCCCATGTACACATGACATGCAGCTGCTGTCCTCTCCAGCTCCTGCTGAAAGCATATCCTATTGTGTTAAACCAGGAACACCTGTTTCTGGTGCAGTATTATTTTATACAGGGGTGAGGAAGATAAACAGTGTAGCAAGTACTGAATTCTGAAGAAGTCTCTAGGGTTTTCTCTATGCCATCTTGTGATGTCATTAATGTGCTCCCAATATGTTTTTATATTCATTTTGTTTTGTTTTTTTCTTTTGCAGAGTGAAGAATTCCATATTTACACACAATACTGTACAAATTACCCAAGGTAAGGAAAATGTAATATTAAAGTTACAATGTAAGTTTCTTCCCTTAGTACTATTAAAAACGTGTATTTTAATTCATTTGCATTATTCGTGTCTCTTACTGAGAGTATCAATTATGTTTCAGTGGGTATCGCACTTGCTGTAAGACACACCTCCCCTACATATCCCTGTTTGATGCACAGACTTGCTTTCCATAACCGATTGAAAATCCCCAACACTTTGTTGGAGAGAGCGAGCATATCTGTTCTCTCTCCAGTCGCTGCTTGTCTGTCCAAAACGGCTTCAATAAAAAATTCTCGCTCTTTCTCTCAGTGCTGCTACTACTCTCACAAAGATCCCAACCTCTGTCCCCTCGCATGCATTACTATATCTTAGGCTGAAGGCAGGCAGGATAGACACCCAGAGAAGGGTTTCCCTGATAAGACATGCAGAGCACAGCCTTCTGGCAAGAGGGAGAAAGATTATCTAGACATTTGCAAGCAACTCTGCTAGCACATTATAAAGATTACATTTGATTCTCTATAATTTATGATTAAGTTCTATATGTCACGACCAGTACCCATTAAAAAATGCAGTTAAACTTATCCGTAATTCAGCAACGAGACAAACTTAATGCAGTATAATTTGTCCTTGTTGCAGTAATCAAGCTTCACGATCTGTGTTTAATCAAATGCTTCACATAGATAAAACACAGGAGGTGGCTATCTGCATAATCCACCAATCCAGTGGTTGTTTATGAGCAGCATTGAATATTCTCATAGAGAAAAGCATTTGATGCACACCCAGCTTAAGGCATCAGCCAGCATGCAAAGGGTGGACGTAAAATAGATTTAGTTATTGTCTATTATTGTTTGAAGCCCCATGTTGCTGTCAGAATGACAACTAGTGACATGGGAACTGCAAAATGTACACAGTGTTGTTGTTTTTTTGTTTGTTTTTTCAGAAATTATATTGGTTTTAATTGCAAACATTAAGATAAAATTATTCGGATGTCCCATTAAAGTAGAAGACCAGGTATCATATCATAATTTAGTTGGTGATATTTTTTTGTAGCACATCTGATTGCATGTTTTACCATGCTTATTTTAAACTAGAAGTTGGTCTGAATGTAAAATGTGCTGAAGACACGATTTATTGGCACTGTAATCATGGCCTTCACATCACCCTTCAATTGTGTCTAAAAGATGTAACAATGAATATGAAACTCACTATACGTATTACAAAGCTGAACTTTATGTGATTGATTCAAAATGGTTTTTATGATAAACCACTAAATCACAAACAATTGTATGTGTCTACTGCATAGCAAATTTATAATCTCTTCGTCTCATTTTTGCCGTCCTGTTTTAGTAGAAATTCAATTTCAGTTTACAGAATATGGATGTAGGCATAAAATCCTATTTTTCTGTTAAAACATCCCCTGTAAAAAACAGCCGTTTAATTAAATTATATATCTAGGCTGTCCTTGAATCAAATCATGGTCAATGGCCAACGTATTCCGCAGCAGTTTACAATATGATATAAAGGGGATACTTAGAAATAAATAAGACCATTACAAAATGTTACAGCAACAATAGGTTGATGAGGACCCGGCTCAAACAAGACTAGAGGCGGTGGGGTACAAAAACACAATACAGAGGGCATCCGTTGGATAGCAACCAAACCACAAGCTGGAAAAGTAGCAGAGTAGTTAATTTATTTTTTTTTTATCTAGATAAAAATTAGAAACCTGAAGCCTAATTAGCTACATTGCTTTCTATTTCAACCGTGCATTTTATTAGAATATATATGTATATTTCTCTATATCCGAGTGGTTCTCGGTTAGATTCAGAAATCCAGTATAATATATTGGAGAAATCTAGTCAAGGTGAGCCACAGATATCCTATTGTATATTCAGGTTTGCAAGGATTCCAGAAATTGCAATACAATTTGTCACTGAGTGTAGTGGAATTCTGAGTACATTTTATATGCAGATCAAGAAACCTTTTTTTTTTTTTTGCAACAATTAAACGCACATTATAGGCACCCAGACCACTTCAGCTCATTGAAATGGTCTGCGTGCAGTGACCCTGTCCACTTAATCCTGCAATGCTAATTATTGCAGTTTCTGAGAAATGCCAAAAGCCATTGCAGGACTAAGACTGCCTCTAGTGGCTGTCAATGAGACAGCCACTGGAGGCACTTCTGCTGGGTAGGCGACTTTTGTTTGCCTAACTGAAGCTGGATGTCTTCATGCTCTGTGTGAGGACATCCAGCGTCTGTTAAATCCACGTAGGGACATCGGTGCTGGAATCTGGTAAGTACATTAAGGGTTTATTAACTCTTACACTGCCGGGGAAATACAGATTTGTATTCCTAGCAATAATGTTATGGGATAGTTTATGCTATATTTAAATACACAAATCATTGAAGTCCACATTTATTGAAAATAAAACCATTATAGCCATACTTGTTGGAAACCGTTAAGGCCCCTCAATGGTTATGTTTATTTATTTCACCTGTCTAGTTTTTAATGACTCTCTATGTAAAGAGAAAATTGACAGCATGACAAATTCCATATACAAATAGTGTAAAGTTCTTGCAGAGTCCATTAGAATTGTTTCTCTAGTGCAGAAGTCAACATTATTCTGTGTCTACAGGTCTGTGGCTGTATTAACGGAGTGTATGAGAAATAAAATACTTGCAAAATTCTTCAGAGAGCGACAGGAAGTTTTACAACACTCCCTTCCTTTGGGGTCTTACCTATTGAAACCCGTTCAGAGGATTCTGAAGTACCACTTGCTGTTACACGTAAGTGTTCTTCACGTAATAGATGTTGACATATCCTGTGAAATGAATCACTTTGCCAAATGTAAATAAAGGAAGAGTGTCTGGCCTGGAATTAGTTCCTAGGTGTGGTTCTGCTTCTAAAGTCTTAGTATTGAGTACGGAAACACATGGGTTTGATTCCAGCCTCTGAAGCCTAAGGCGAGAAGTTGTTTATTATTACTGCTAAAAAGTGCATGCTCCATGATCATTATCTTTGAAATGTAAAAACTACATGTGCTTTCACCTGTATGCTCAAGAAACCTTTTTTTTTTAAATGTATTATTCTCTATAATCAAGGGTTTGTATGCTTTTTAGGCTTTTTTTTTTTTTTATTACATTTTATTTCGTTTTAAACAAAGGACATGAAAAGGATAGACCACTACTACTACACACTACATCCACAACGGACGCTGTGACATATACACTGTTGGGCAACATAATGACAAACAGCGGACTGAAACATTTATCAGACCTGACAGACCATAACAACTCCACAATGGCCCAAACTTTCCAATATCACCAACTAACACTTTCTGAGCTCAGAGGGGTTACTACATTGGGCACCGAGAGAAGAAACACAGTTCGAGAAACTATGCATGAAGCCCGCTACTAGAAAACTAACATCCCAATGTTTCCACCTGATACAATCCCAACTACAATTGCCTACCTTACTTCACCAGAGTGGGAAAGGAATGGTTCTCATCACCGGTAGAGGATAGGGATTGGGCCCAAATAGTCACGAGAATGATGAAAACACACCCCAGTGTACCCCTACAAGAAATAAATGAAATTTTTTTATCACAGTGGTACGTAACCCCAGTAGACGCCCACAGATTTAACTCCCAAAACTCCTCACTATGCTGGAGATGATAGAAAGAACAGGGAACATACCAACACATTTGGTGGTCAGGCACAAGGGTGGGGGGATTCTGGAGGGAGGTAGCTTGAATCACAGAGCAACTTAGCAATGTCACACTACCCTTCCAACCGGAGATGATTCTGTTCCTTCATATCCCAATCTCAATGAAAAAATTTAAACACTCACTACTCTTTTTCCTGCTAAAAGCAGCGAAATTGGTGGTAGCGGGAAATTGGACATCACAAACCAGGCCTTTGAGGAGGGAATGGTACCAAAAGATAGACAACATCCACAAATTGGAGGATGACTGCCCTAGGCAGATACCACCACTTTGATGCCACCTGGAAACCATGGGCACAATACCTAAAGGAGAAAAGGTAGTCACCAAGGGTGGGGGGGTACTTAACAGGCGAGACCAACTTAAAGATCACAAGCTAGCCAACTAATGAAGTGCAGAACCAGAGTATATTACACGGTCGTTTAGACACTTTGGGTCTACCCACACAACACGATGCAATTCAATATATATATGGGACTAGACCAATTTTGTACATAAACAGTCAATATCTGAACAATAGACTGGGAACAAGAAATATAATCACAGAGTACAGATAGGCCCTTGCCAGCCTAATGAGACTAGGTCCAACTGAAGCAACACATACACCAGAGAGACACCATCACATACTATATTGACTCTAAGTGACAACAATGTAAGAACATATGCCAACACTTGTTTAGAAACAATATTGTGTAACTGAAATTGCTACTTTGCAACAGAGATATGACCTGTAACTCCACACCTAACATATATTTTCTCTTCTGTATTTTCACTGTTTGAACTTTCACCATATTTCTGTGTCTGCAAAAAAAATTTTTGGACAAAAAAGTAAAAAAAAAAAAAAAAAAGGGATACATGTGCAGATATCATCAAGTAGAGCAGTCAAAGACACAGTGCCTGGGTATATTGCAACAATTATCATGTAAGTAGCCATTCAAACATACTCCCTGGATAAGTCAGTAACAGTTTGCCTAGTAGGTGAGGAAGGTTATTTAGTTTTTTGTTTAGTTTTTTTACAGTTTTAAATGTTACACCCAGCAAGCACTGGTTAGCGACCAAATGGATCATTCTCGCACTGCGCAGGATTTTACCTATTTGGCAGCTGGCTACTAGCGCTGGCCCAGACTTTATGCATCTGGTCTTGATTTCAGCTATTGGTGTTCAGTCCGCCTAAAAATCAAAACCAAATTTGGAGTAATTCTGAGCCAGTAGTGCAAAATCTCGATATTGTTAAAAAAATTTAAAATTCTGAATTTTGCAGTCCAAATGGGCATGCGTGTAACTGCATCATTTTGCTCAGTTTGGTATGGAGCCATTTGAATTTCAGTGAATAGACCTCTAAACGTGGGAATTTTTTGTGTTTGTTTTAAAGGGACACTTTAGGCCAGGCGTAAGCAAACTTTGGCACTCCAAGTGTAGTGGACTACATCTCTATTGATGGTGTAAAAATATTATTGGAGATGTAATCCACAACATCTGGAGGGAGTAAGGTTGCCTACACATTTCATGTCACATTAATTATACAAATTAATACTAGCAATGGGTGACTGTAATAGGCAGAAAATGGTTAGCTGACTCTCAGCCAATTACCGTCACCCGTTGCTGCTCAATGATTACTCATTAGCCAAAGCAGCACAGAGGAGACCATATAGGCCAGTAAGATTGTAGGGGACACTAAGTCACCCACACCATTTAATCGCAAACTGCAAAAGTGTCATATTTTAGAAACTGCAATGTTTAAATTGTAGGGTAAAGTCTACCTCTATTGGTTCTGACAGAGGTAAAGTCATGTGGAGCAGAAACCCCCATAGGAAAGCATTGACTCAATGCTTTCCAATGGGGAAGTTAGAATGTGCACGCAGCACTCGTTGTGCATATACCTTAGGTTTCTATTGCTCCGCAATGATATCATTGGATATGGCCATAACGGAGGCGGCCATTCCTCCATCATGGGAGGAGCGTAGGGGAACAGTGCCAAGGTGCTGGAAAAATGTAAGTAAATCTTTCAATTTTTATAGCAAACAGGGGCAACCTATTTCTTACACTATAGCGTTAGTACAGGTTTGTAGTTCTAACACTATAGTGTTCCTTTAAAGGGACACTCCAGACACCCGCCAGCGTTTGGGATCTGAAGTGTATATCTACTAAACAGTATTTAAAAAAAAAAAATTACATTTGGGAAGTGGAGTGTCCCTTTAATCACTGAAAATTTTACTTCATGAGTTCACTAAAGGGCAGGCATGACCACATTTATGCTGTTCTCTGTTATAGGATTTGCAGTGCAGACAGATTATCAGCATTTGGCTGGTAAACCTCTAAGAGTTTATTGTAAACACATGCATGTGTGATTCAAACTCTTCTCCACTAGCATGCTATGTACTGTATAGAGAGATGATTGCGTAGGAATTGAATAAAAGTGTGAGTACAAAGTATAGCCAGTGTATATGCTAAACATATTGATATGTGATCACCATCCATGTTTTTGCCCATTAGGAAATATCCAATCACCTGGATAAGGACACGGAAGGATACGATGTTGTGCTGGACGCCATTGATACAATGCAACGGGTAGCATGGCACATTAACGACATGAAAAGGAAACATGAACATGATATCAGGCTTCAGGTTGGTTTACTAGCTCATGTCTATTTGGACATCTCTCTTTGCAGTGAGATGGAGTTTGCACATGTCCAAAGCCTTCTCTTGAAAACTTTATGAACCTTTGATTCTTCAACTTTTATATTCATATGGCGATGTTGCTGGAGACTATGGTTGTAAACTTTTGGGATGTGCAATGTATTGTTGAACTTAAAGGTACTCCATGAAGTGAGTAAATGTCAGTAAAGTGGTATGTGTGCCATGCCCCCACCTCCCCCTTAAACCATGCAACTGAAAACACTGTCCAAGAGAGACCATCTTACTGACGCAGCAGGATTTTTAGTCTTCCATTTTTTTCCAATGGAAAAATGTTGTATTGCCTGAGATAATTACCAGATTTTACTAATTACATGACGTAAAGTCATGATTTTATAAAGGACACGGAGGCGAGTATTAGGCTTTATCTCTTTCTTTATTCCTCAGCAGCAAAGAAAGGATATTGATATTTTTAATATAGCAATAACAAAAAGAAAAAAACAAATACCCTTAAGGGTTAACCATATAACATTCCATATCCATTAACCAATAGGATCAGTCCTTGTACTATATCCCTTCATGTGAGGTAAACTACTTCCTCTTTCTGGCTGACGCCGAAGCTGAACACATCAACAAGGGAAAAACATTTTCTCAAACTTGGATAATCTTTCTTAGGGGTTCCGGCGAATGTTCCAAATAATGTTGAGATATTGGACGATCCCGGTTATGTCATCACAGGGTTAAGCTGTAGGAGACAGAGAGATATATGGTAAAATGTATTCGAATATCGTTGTCATACATATATGTTGTACCGGTCCGTAGACAAACGTTTATATCTGAAAACATTGCTTGCGACATTCTAGCATAAATCAGTCTAAATCGCAATCTTACCCTAGAACCTTGATTCTAAACATCCAAAATGCTATAACTTGTTTATGAGCAAGTGGGTGGGAAAAAAATACGTGTACGGCTTACCTTTCAGTGGGCGGGCTAATACTCGCCTCCGTGTCCTTTATAAAATCATGACTTTACGTCATGTAATTAGTAAAATCTGGTAATTTTATTAAAGGACACGGAGGCTCTTATTAGGCTAGTTTAAAGCTGTGATATGACCCTAGACGAGATATGTTCTGTTGGTCTAAAGTAGTATTCCTTGAACGTCGATTCTCGGGACCAGTCAGCTGTGCGGAGGAGGTCTTCCAGTTTACATCCAATGGAGAATGCTTTAGAGGCCATAGCGCCTCTAGTAGAGTGTGCTCCGTAAACGGCTGTGTCGATGTTAGCATTTGACATTATCCATTTCACCCAACGTGTCAGAGTTCCCGTGGATACTGGTTGATGAGGTTTTCTCACTGCCAAGAACAAATTATGTGTTGTTGGGTTCCGGAATGGCTGTGTCCGTAATTCATATTCCTGCAGGCATGCTACCGGGCAGAGGTTAGCGTTGTGAGGAAAGGAGGGATAGAAGACTGAAGTGGTGTTCGACTTCGTACGTCTGGTGATATTAAACAGGACACCATCCGGTGTGAATGATCGTGCATCGATATCTAAGGCCCTCACGTCTGATACCCGTTTGCAGGAAATTAAGCATAGAAGCATTGCCAATTTTGCAGACACTTGCTTGAGTGTGAGGTTCGAGTTTGGGGGCCAATCTTGCAACAACCGAAGGACCATATTCACATCCCATAGGGCCGTGTAACGAGGTTGTGGCGGACGTGCGAATTTTATGCCTCGTAGGAGACGACAGATCCATAAGTGTTTCCCAGCCGGGAAGCCTTCCCAACCAGTGTGCCCAGCTGAAATCGCTGACCTGTACACATTTATGGTGCGATAAGCCAAGCCTTGATCATAAAGGGTAGTAAGGAAGCCCAAAACCTGGTTTATAGGAGCACGTATGGGATCCACGTGCCGTTCCACGCACCAACTACACCATGTGTTCCAGGCATGAGCATAGGAGCGTCTTGTCCCTGGGGCCCAAGCTCCTGCCAATAATTCCAAAGTCGTTTGTGAAACATTCGGCATGGTCCAGGGTCCCCGGAGAGGAGCCATGTTAGGAGTCTGAGATGACCTTGCACCAGAAGTGGATGAGAGTTCCCATCGGGATCTGATAATAATTCTGTGCTCCCTGGAATCAATCTGGGGAGGTCGATTGACATTTCCATGAGGGAAGGGAACCATGGCTGTGCCGTCCAGAACGGTGTTATCAAAACCAACGATGCTCGGGAGCGCTGTAAGTGTAGGAGAGTCCGCGCTATGAGTGAGAAAGGGGGGAAGGCGTATAGCCTGGTGTTCGGCCAATTTTGTAGGAAGGCATCCACTGCCGTGGCGTCTGGGTCCGGTCTCCAGCTGAAGAATGAGGGGAGTTGAGCATTCAGCCGGGAGGCAAAAAGGTCGATGTGCATTGGTCCCCAGAGTTGGTGGAGTTTCTGGAATACTGTGCGATTCAATCGCCATGCACTGTTGTCTCGTAAATGCCTGGAGTGCCAATCCGCTACGGTGTTGGAGAGGCCTGGGAGGTATTCCGCCTGTACGGATATGCTGCGACTCAGGCAGAAATGCCAGAATTCTTTCGCCAAGTTCGTGAGGATTGAGGACCTCGTGCCACCCAAGTGGTTGATGTAGCGGACGGCTGAGACATTGTCCATGCGTAGGAGTATGGAACAATTGGTCGTGTGTCCGAGGAGGCTCCGTAGGGCGAATGACCCAGCCAGGAGTTCCAAACCATTGATGTGGAGTTCTTTTTCTTCGGAAGACCATTTTCCACCTGTAGAGGTAGGACCACAGCGGGCCCCCCATCCCAGTCTGCTCGCGTCGGATTCTATGACTAGATCCGGAGTGGCGCCGAAGATTGCCTTGCCGTTCCATGCTTCCATGTGTTGAAGCCACCATGCCAGTTCCTCTTTTGCCGCGCAGTCTAGAGGTACAGAATCTGAATAGGAGTGACCCAAGCGTAGGTGGGTTGCCTTGAGTTGTTGTAGGGATCTGTAGTGGAGAGGGCCTGGGAAGATCGCTTGTATAGAGGCCGAGAGCAGGCCAATTATCCTGGCTAGCTGTCGGAGGGTTAAGACAGGTCGAGCCAACGTCCTCCGGATTTCCTTCTTGATAAGTTTTACTTTTGCGGTAGGAAGACTGAGCGTTCCGTGTACTGCGTCTATATCGAAACCCAAAAATTCTATCGAGTGTGAAGGTTGTAGGATCGATTTGTCCCAATTGATTAGGAAACCTAGGTTTTGTAAAAGGGTTACTGTCCAGAATAGGTGTTGATTCAGTAGCTGTGTGTCTTGGGCCATGATCAGCATGTCGTCGAGGTATATGATCAGACGTACACCTCTGCTGTGAAGGAGGGCAACTACCGGTTTCAGCAGCTTGGTGAAGCACCACGGGGCTGAAGACAGGCCGAAAGGGAGGCAGCGGAAACGCCACATCGTCTGGTCCCATTGGAATTGTTGACAGTCCTCGGCAATCGGTATTGTGAGGTATGCATCCTGGAGGTCCAATTTTACCATCCAGTCTCCCAGTCTTAGTAGGTCTCGGAGGCAGTGTATTCCTTCCATCTTGAAGTGATGGTATGTGACAAAGGCGTTGAGAGGCCGCAAATTTATTACTGGCCTCATGCCCCCACCTTTCTTGGGTACTAAGAAGATGTTGCTTAGGAACCCGGGGGCGGTAATGGGAACCCTGTATATCGCACATTTTTTCTCCAGTGCGTGAATCTCTCTAACACTAGCTGTTTGTCTAGTGGGGAAAAAATAATCCGATGTGGCAATGAGAGTTGAATCGGCTGTTGTGTAAATTCGATGTGATAGCCGAGGATGGTCTCTAGGACCCATGTATCTGAGGTTAGGTTGTGCCACGCATCCTGGAATTGAAACAATCTGCCCCCCACAGGTACAAAGGGAATGGTGTGTAATGTGGAGTGACTCACCATAAGGCCGACGGCCATAGGAGGATCCCCTGGTTCCGCGTGGATGCCATGATCTGCCCCTGGTCGGGAAGAATGGTGATTGTGCCCTCGGTTCGGGTGGGTGGAACCGGGTTGTGGCGGAGCCTCGATAGCCCCGGAACTGAGTCCGGGAGGGGCGGCCGGACAGACGGCCCCGCTGTCTGCCGGCCCCCCCGAAAACCTTTTGCGAGAACACTCGCTTCATATTATGTTGTGCCTTATCTAGTGCCGTAAATGTGTTTACGTAATTACCCAGGGTCTTAACAAAATTGTCACCTTTTGCCTGTGTGCCAGGCTCGGAGATTGCCAAATGCACTAGTTTTGGCTCGATTTTCAACAATATGGCTTTACGCCGTTCCGTGGCCAAAGCGGTGTTGGCATTTCCTATTAGGCATATGCCCCTCTGAATCCAGCCTCTGATGGCCATCAAGTCAATTGGGGTCCCCCCAGTAAGGGCCGCTTCGACCATATCGAAGATTTTAGCTATAGGCCCGAGTATGTCCAGGATCTTGTCCTGGCAGTGTTTTAAGGAGTAGTCCAAACCCTTCTTGGCCCTCCATCCTGACTTACCCAGGAACTGGGCGACCTTGGGATCCACTTCAGGGGTCACGCAGGCCATGTCTGGGACAGTGGGCCTTGGGCATTCCGCCCTCAGTTTGTTTCTTGTGGCCTTGTCGAGGGGTTTCCTGACCCTAGTCGCAATATAAACGGCCACATGAGTCGTGGGATACCACTCCGCTGAACGCGGATTGTGTAAGGTGTCGGGATCAAAAAGGGGTTCCCCTTGGGGGTCTAACACAGCGGACTCATCCGTCTCGCTCTCCGCGTCTAGAGCTGGAGGCGTGGTGTCGCTGCGTTCGGGGGATGAATTGTCTGAATTAATTGGGTCGATGTCATCGGACCCATCTGATACCTCCTCTGAGTCCGAGTCGGACGGATCAGATAGGGCTTTTGCCCTCTTCCAAGTTCGCACCGTTTTTGCCCGGCGGGGGGCTCTTTTACGTGGGAGCACCACGTCATCAATCTCAACAGGGCGCAACCTGTCCGTCTTACTGGTTCTGGAGGTAGCACCTGACAGATGGTGCGATTTACACGTAGCCTTGCGGCCGCTAGGGACCATTGGCTTGCTATCACTGGATATAGGGGGTGCCGAGCCCGGGTTGTGACCGGATGCCCTAATAGCAGAGGAAATGGAGTGGGACAGGGTGTCCGACATCGCCCCCATGGCAGTAAAAATGGCCTGTGTGACAGACCTACTCATCGTGGCATCCAGGAGCGCCTGGAACTCCTCTGAGTTCACGTGCTCCTGGGATGCGTCCCCAACTCCCCCAATGACAGCAGCGTCTGTAGACATGGCTGTCTTATCACGTTTGCTGGGTTTAGTAGAGGTGGGAGGGGGGGTA